TGTCCCTCTCTCCATCGCTGAAATCTAACCTAGGCCTCTTTTTCTCCTTATTCTTTGATTCAAAAGGCTTCCGAGAGCCATAAGAGGACGCCGCTACCACCCCATCACTCCCTTTCTTCCTCACAGTCAAACACCCAGAAGGCCCCTTGCCCTTGACTACGTACCCTGACGGCTTGCCAGAAAACACCACCCACTCGCCCAACTGTGGATGACCCACGCGCCGTCGATGGTCGATCTCTCCGGAGCCTCGTCATGGGGGACTTTGAGGTGAGAACAAGGATGATGAATCATTGACGTTGGAGGCTTCTCGAATTTCGAGTCGTGGTGGTCGATCTGGCACCAGTTATTGCAAACAAATTGAAACTCGATGTCGCCGGCAGGACCTGGAGGGAGCTTGGCATAGATCATATTCAACAGACCCGGACTCAAATCTGCCCATGGTCGATACCTGATCTAGATCTAAGATATCGGCTTTGATGGCGACGGCAGAGGCAGGAGAGGTGGAATTGAGCTGCGATGCGAGGAGGTCGGGTTGAGTTAAGTTGGCGGCATAGTTGATCATCACTCTAGCGTCGAGTGAGTGGAGATGGGTTGCAGTTCCGCGGCAGATGCTACGGGAGCTGTCGGTGACGATGGCGACTCGGCTGTCAAGTGGGAGTTGGAGAATGGAAGAAGATGTTGATTGTGCCATGATGAGGTTGAGACTTGCAGAACCGAGGAGGAGAAATTTGTGGGGATGTGATTTGTTTGTGTTTGTGGATTTATATGAGTCCGGGCGGGGAACTGGGAAAGGACCAGGTAGACTCGGCGAAAGGGAGGTTTGCGGGAGGTTTGCAGGAGGTGAGAGGAAGGAGGAGGAAGATTCGGGTCTGGTCAAATAGAGAGGAAGATAAAGGGTTGAGTTATGGGTTGGGTAGGTTTTAATGACGTGGCGGGTCGGGTTTATTTTTGTTGGGTTAAATCCGGCTAACTAGGCGATTCTGTTGTCACGTCAGCACTTAATGGACTCTATTAACAAAGTTGGACAGAGACCAACGAAAAGTGATCAAACATGACATATTTTACTAAACTTAGTGATGATTATTGATAGTAATTTTTTTCAGTGACTAAACATGACACATTTTAGTAATCCCAGTGACCAAACTTGGCATTTACCCTATTTTTCTTGTAATTTTGCTAGTTTGTGTTTCTTGTGCTTCGCTTTGTCCTTGACGCTCATGAAGTCTTTATTATCTGAGGGTTCAATTCCTTAATTGATGAGAGTTGTCGAGGTGGGCGCTTCCTTGCCGACCACATGTTTTTCAAACATCTTGACAAGGACTGTCTCTTCTCTTGAGCTCTTTTTGAAGGTGAAGCACTCTTTTAAGTTTGAAATTTTTACGGCCCCGAGATGACAGTCAATTGTTTGAGTCCTTCTGAAGAAAGGTCAGTTGGGTTCAATTTCAAGGTATTTGAAGAGTCAGACATCTTCCTATTGTCATATGCTCCACGTGTTCTCGGAGGAGTTACAGGAGAAGGAAAAATAAGAAAGCGTATGGCGAATTAAAGAGAGAGAAAAGTAGATAGATAATCGTCTATGTGCATATTGATTCACCCATTTATGATGACAATTCTTATTTTTACTATTTTTGGTAGGAATAACAATATGTCTGATTATTCAGGTTTCTCAAAATTCAAACTCAATCCAGCGTGTGAATTCACCAAAAATTCCAGTAAAATACCCATTGAAATTTAGAGAAAAAACCCAACGCTACCCAAAGGGTGCATGGCACCCATAGGTTCATGGACATAGCTGCAAAAAATTCCATTGAATACCAATATCCTTACATTGTCAAATTTTCCCTACAAATATATTCCGTTAAAAACGAATAAAATTCATAAATTATCTACATGATTAGGAATATATTGTCATAAAAATTAATATTTATAAAATTTTCCATATTATCAAGATTAAATACACAATGATGTCATTTTTTTGGGTGCATGTGAGGTTTTGACAATATCCACACTCAACCCAATCCGACAATTTCAAAAGCGAGTAGAACTTGCATCCGACCCAATACTAGTAAATATTGGGGTTTACCTAGTTTGACTACGACTGGCCGAGTTGGGTAACGGGATTTCGAGTTCAATTGCCACCCCAAGTTTTAGGGGGTGAGGTATGTGGTCGGACGACTGACCTCTTTCTATAGCTTTCTTGTGTTTTTTTATTGTGAAGGCGTGCTGATCTCTTTCCATAAATATCTTATTATTTGAAAAAACACTTTAAACCATCAAAATCGTCAAATCCATCCACCATCCGCCATCGTCCATCCAACCCAACCTAACCGAACTCGGTGGGGAGCGGATAGTATAACAACAGCTCCTTTGTTGTTACTGTAACAACAGGATTCATTAAGGGTAATAGAGTAATTTAACATAAAAAATAAAATTAAAATAAAATAAAATCTATTTAATCCATCTCCACCGCCACTCGCGAAGAGCAACACCTTCCTCCTTGCATCTCAGTTGCCGGAGGCAGCACATGACTATTGGAAGTGAAGATGTCTTTGTCAGTGTCGCCGTAGCCATTTTCGTTGGCGTTCTCGGCGTGGATCGAGCCGAAGGGGCCCACGGAGTAGCCAGGGTTCTGATCCAGGTCAGCTGAAGAAGATCCGAATCCGAAACCCTCGGGGGAGGAGTCAGCGGGCTGATCCACAACAGCCTGCCTTCCGACCACCGCCGCATCGACGATGCTTCTCCACTACCCTTGCTTCTTCCACGCCACTCCTGCTTCTTCTATCACCAGGCGTTTTTATCGCTGAAATCTCCTTCTAGCACCCATCAGTCGCCGCCAATTTCATCGTTGCTTCCGCATCCACAACTTCAATTGCTTCCACCGTCAAAAGCTAAAGCCAATCTCCTTCTAGCTACTATCGCCGCTTTGACATGGTGGAACAGAGTAGATAGAGGCCGTTTGTTCTCTTCAATTTCGAAATAAGAAGAGCTCAAACCTCGCTTGTTCTCTACAATGAGAATTTGGTACTGTGAAGATGAGTAGATTAGACGGAAACGGAGGGATGGTTGTATTGAAACAATTGTGCAAACGAAATAAGAAGAGTTGGTCCGAGGGCCACTCGTTTTAGCTACAGCTACCCATTTGCATAAATTTGCAGATGATGTATATACACCATGGATCTGCAAAATATATGGGCAAGAAAGCTAGCCTTGGACCAGACAACGTTCCCCACAAAACCCAAGCTTCTTGCTTTCTTTCTTTTCTTTCTCCTCCATCGTTTTCTCTCCTCAGATTTCATGAAAGGTAGGTTGGAGTCATTCTCTGATGCTGGTGATATAGAAAATATAAAGAAACAGAAACTACAAAGAAGGGTAGAGATGTAGGAAGAAGGTGCGCAGTGGGAGGAGAGGAGATGGAGTAGTGAGTGACTTAGTGTATTATGGCTATTACTGCTGGAGTGGAGATAAGATTATGATCAAACACTAGTACTCAATTGGAGCTGCTAGTTTCATATATGGTTTCATTTTATACATGCATTATTAGTAATATGAGACCTCGTCACAAAAGCATACAAAAAACGTATCTAAAGCATACTCGAGAAACCTCCTAATGCAGACCATAAATAGGGAAATCAATCCAAAAAAGTATACCAGAATTCTCCTAATACGTCCAATAAATTGCCTGAAACCAACCAGAGATCTCACAAAGCAACCACAGACTGTTCGAAAGCACACCAGAAACCTCATAATGTGCCGTAAAGCAAATCACAAAAAAGCAAACAAAAAACCTCCTAGTGCAGACCACAAATCCACTAAAACAAACCAGAAACCCCACAAATCAAACCATAAAATTTTCGAAATTTTCGAAAGCACACCATCAACTTCTTAATGCAAACCAGAAACACCATAATGCATACCGCAAGTCCACTAAAACATATCAGAAACCCCACAAAGCAAACCACAACATTTGCAAAAGCACGCCAGAAACCTCATAATGTAAACCACAAACATAGTAAATCAAACCACAAAAAAGCAAACCATCAACGTCCTAATGCGGACCACAAATATATTAAAACAAACCAGAAACCTCACAATGCAAACCACAAATTTTTTGAAAGCAAACCAGAAACTTCTTAATGCAAACCACAAACACGATAAAGCAAACCACAAAAGGCATACAAAAATATGAGAAATCAAACCATAAATCTCACAATGCAGACCATAACATCCGTGGTCGTTGACCGAACTCCGATGACCCTCAGTGAGCAGATTCCGACGCCAATAGGCATATTCTGGCCCCGATGACTAGATTCCGATGCCGGTAAGCATATTTCGACCACGGTGAGCATATTCCAGCGACGGTGGCATATTCCGTCGACAAATAGTATATTCCGGTGACCGATGACCAGTTTCCGGGGACCGGTGACAGAATTCCGACGACCAAAATTTTGGGCAGAAAATACAAAAATATTATTTTATTTTATTTTTTTAAACATATTTTTCATAATGATAATTATACCCCTTTTTTGATTTTACACTAGGTCAACTCAACTAATAAAAAGTCATCACAACCCTAGCTTTCTGTTGATTGTAAACTAGTGTTGTTAGTTGTTACAATAACAACACAACACAAAGAGTGTTGTCACACTATCTAGTCCCAACGGTGATACCTTTGATTGGTTGGCTGTTTCTTTTTGTGGGCTTTGTTCGGAAAAAGATCCGAAGCCTAATACCCATGTTACCACTCAGGTCCAAAAATAAAGAAACCAAAACCTTATGAGGACTACCCAACCGGCCCCATCTCCTTTGAGCCTTTTCTTTAGCAGCACATCCGTCGTCGATCCAAAGCTACAATCGACGGCGATTCGCAGCGCCGCCGCCCCCTAGGTCACAGGAGATTTTTTGTGCTCCTCCTCGGAGATCAGGGTCGTAACTCGCACCGAATGCTCACCCTCGCCGGCCGTGTCACTCTCCGAAACTGATTTCGACGATGATACGGATCGATGCAACCTGTTCAGCAGTGGACCGCAATAGAACGAAAATGCCTCGCGCTTCTTCAACGAAGCAATACGAAGAAGCATCTCTTCCAGGTTCATGCGGCGATCGTCAAGCATTCCCTTCACAACAACCTCAACATTCTCGCCAAGTTCATCTCTTCATGCGCTTCAATTGCTCAAATGGCTTCCTCCACCCCGGCTGCGCACCTGGACACCATAGCCCATGCCCGCAAGGTGTTCGATCGTCGTCCCTGCGAAGGCGACACCTTCGTCTGCAACTCCATGATCCAGGCCCATGTGGGCGCGCGCCAGTTTGTTGACTCCGTCACTCTTTATCGACATCTTAGGCGGACGACGAGTTTCAGTCCTGATAATTTCACCTTTACTTCTCTGGCCAAGTCTTGTGGGCTGAGCAGGGCTCTTGGTGAAGGCCTGCAGATGCATTCTCAAGTTGTGAAGTTCGGGTTCTGCTTGGACTCGTATTTGGCCACTGCAGTGGTTGATATGTATGCAAAGCTTGGGGTGTTGTGTTCCGCAAGCAAGCTGTTTGACGAAATGTCTGAGAGAAGTGTTGCCTCATGGACGGCTTTGATAGGCGGTTATGTAAGGTGTGGGGATCTGAATCGTGCTGAACTTCTTTTTGATCAGATGCCTGAGAAAGATTGCGTGGCTTTTAACGCAATGATCGACGGTTATGTCAAAGCGGGGGATATGAACTCTGCCCGATCCTTGTTTGATAAGATGCCGCATAGGAATGTGGTCTCATGGACTAGTATGATTCAAGGTTACTGCAACGTTGCTGACATTCCATCTGCCAGGTTTCTATTTGATTCTATGCCTGAGAAGAACCAATTCTCCTGGAATGTCATGATTGGTGGGTACTGCCAGAACAAGCAGCCACATGAAGCTCTGGCACTTTTTCGTGTGATGCAGTCAAACACATCGCTTGAACCAGATGAAGTAACGATTGTAAGCATCCTTCCAGCTATTGCTGATATGGGGGCTGTGGAATTGGGTCGTTGGGTTCACCACTACGTCGGCAGGAGGAAACTCGATCGATCTACCAAAGTCTGCACCGCACTTATTGACATGTATGCAAAATGTGGCGAAACCACCAAAGCGAGAAGAGTTTTCGAACAGATGCCTAACAAGGAAACAACTTCCTGGAATGCGCTGATCAATGGGCTAGCAGTCAATGGAGGTGCCAGGGAAGCGATGCAGGTGTTCGCAGACATGCAGCTTCAAGGATTCAAACCGAACGAAATAACCATGCTAGGCGTTCTGTGTGCTTGTAACCACGGCGGGCTCATACACGAGGGGAGGAGGTGGTTCGGTGCATTGGATGGTTTGGGTCTCACCGCGAGAATCGAGCATTATGGATGTATGATTGATCTGTTGGGGAGGGGTGGGTGCCTGGAGGAAGCTGAAAGTTTGATCCACAGCATGCCTTATGAGGCTAACGGGATAATTCTGAGCTCTTTCCTCTCAGCCTGTGTGAACTCCAAGGACTTCACAAGGGCTGAAAGCGTCCTGAATCAGGCTGTTAATGTTGAGCCAAGGAATGACGGGAATTATGTTATGCTGGGTAACTTGTATGCCACGGATAAGCGGTGGGGAGAAGTTGAGGAGGTGAAGGGATTGATGAAGAGAAATGGAGCTAGAAAGAAGGCTGGCAGCAGTGCTATAGAGATTGACGGCGAGGTCTCGGAATTCATAGCTGGAGGCAAAGAACATCATCTATGGGAAGAAATAAGGCTGGCGATCCGTCAGTTGAGAGAGCAGATGAGATGCAAGGAAGATTCCGCCTACTCCATTATCCCCCTGTGTTCCTAGATTCATGTGCAGATGTAGCTGCTCTGGAGCGTTATCTACCAGTAAACAAACAGCCGCAGGCGACAGAAGTAACTTACCTTTTCTTGAATGTTTCGGTTTCCATCTCAATCTTTGCGGCTTCGACGGATTGAGCCCTTTCTTCGTTGTTTGCAGAAAGAAGCAAAGTTGCAGAATCAGTTTTGGCTTTGCAAGTTCGAATTGTGGTATGGTTTGCTCTCAGGCTATACCAAGGGCATTCACCAAGGCTTCTATGTCATGCACTTAAGCAACTCTGGAGACAATTTAAGAGGTGTGAATCATAACTCCACACCTCTTACCTATTTTCATATTGATTCTACAGTTCGATCAGTATGTTAACCTAGTCGATAGTACTGCTCTGCGATCTCGGATTCGCGTTGTGGATGCTGCTGCTTCTTATGCTGCTGTAGGGGCACTGTTAGTGCAAGTATGCTTTTCTTCTGGGCACATTGATGCAGTGTAATTGGTGATTTTGGCAAGCTCGGACTTAATTGCTACGTTGTTTACGTTATCTCGGGTCTAACCTAAAGAAGTTTACACATGAAAGCAGAGGGTATCGTGGTTTTTGCTTGTTCATCTTTCAATGTTAGATCCAATCAATCCAATGGGATTTGAACTGGTGAATTAAGGATATCCACCTCATACATTATTCAGCATAGTACATCAATCTGAGCCAGTCGTCTCGTCTATGTGCACCAACAGGCGTCCACTCTTTCCAGCAGGTTTCGACAGCAATCCATGAACTTTCTGCGTTTGCCCCATTGCTTATTGACCTGGTGATCCGTTACGTTAACCATAGCCACCGCGCTCTACCCCCTGAACCTTCTGGCATGAACCCTGAATCAACGTCGAGATCATTGAATCCGGCGCCCCAGACGAAACAATAACTAATTAATATGGTAATGATCGCATCAACGATTACGCTTATGATTTGTGAAATTCAAGCATTTCTCATTTCAGTGAACGAACGAAATTACAGGCAACAAACAAACACCTATGTCCAAATCCCCAACCACAATCCCAAGGAAACGCTAGTTACTAATTACATAATACTGGCCATCGTACACCATCGAGCGCGCTTTCTTTTTGTTGTTTATTTACTTGGAGACGACCTTCCCCCTGAGCTTGACGCCGAGCACCTTCTCCATCTTCGCCAGGATCGCCTGGTTAGGTACCGCCTTCCCGTTCTCGTACTCCTGCACGACCTTCGGCGGCTCGTTGATCTGCTTCGCCAGCTCCGCCTGGCTCATCTTCTTCTCCAGCCGCGCCTTCTGGATCAGCTGCCTCACCTCCGCCGGCACCCTGTCCAGAGCCGCCGGCTCCGTCAGCTCGTCCAGCTTCCGCGCGTTCACCACCGGCGCAGCGGTCGGCTTCTTGTTCGAACCGGCGTCGGATTTCTTGATCGTCTGGACCGGCGCGCCCGTTCGGAGGGCCTGGTTCACGGCCTTGGGGTCGCGTTCGTGGCCTTTCGCCGGCTTCTTCCTCAGCACCACCGGATCCCAGTCCTGGGAGATCACGCCGGCTGTCCTGCTCGGCATTTTGGATAAACTTTTGCAGAGAAATTTGAGCGGAGGGAAGGGTTGTTTGTTTGGCTGTGGAATTGATAGACCGGAAATTGCGTTGGCAGAAGAAAGTGAGGAATCAAGGGCAGGAGGAGAGGGGTTTATAATGGGAGCTGGGAGTCTGGAAAGTTCGTTCCCGCTTTACTATCTGGAAGGTTCGGTGGGAGAGCAGGATAGGAAGGAATAATTAAAAAAAAATGTAAAAAGCACTAGTCCTTTTGTAGTAAGGATGACGCGGCGTGATATGATTGGTCTGCTAATGGCTTGGCCACCAAGCAGTTTTTTATACCACTCAAAATTGTGACTTGGGGCTCAAGCACAAAGTTTTTCTCGGTTACCCGGGTATGGTCCGAGTATAGGTTGGACCGAGCTGAATTGGCACCAAGAATTGAAAAATTGTAATCTACCGACGGATTGACCAGAAAAACCCCTACCGGATGCTAAATTTGTAGGTGGTATTTAGAGGTATAAAACGGTCGAATCATGTTCAAACTACGATGTCAACATAAAATATCTTACCGCTGACTATGTAACATAATCAATTTTTTATAATGGTGAAACATTTTATTAATTCGAGTAAACATAAATTATTAGCCAAACCTTTTTTGCATTCTTTTTATTGGTAAAATCTATTGAATTATTAATAATTAGCCAAATCTTTTATATTGTATCAAAATATCAGTCATCTTATGTTATCGTTAATGAATTTGTAACTTTTTTTCTTAATTAAACTACTAAAGTTTTGGAATATTGACCTGAGCGTGTCTCTTCCTAGTTAGTATCATATTGGCAAGTCAATATTACTAACAAAGTTGTTTACTAAAAGTTAACATTTGACTAATTATTAGTAATTTAATAGAATTGGATTATAAAAAGGAATGCAGAAAAGATTTGTCTAATAATTAGTATTTACCCTATTAATTAAATAAGATTAAAATATAGTTACATTTAGAGTTGACAAAATGAACCTAGGTTGCATATAGGAGTGTTCAAGCGGTGTGGTTACCGTGGTAACTGTTTTAACTGGTAGTATTTGGCTAATTTGATTTGGTTAATTTGGATAAATGGTTTGGTTTGGTTAAAAAATCTAGCTTGTTTGTTGTTGGTGGTTTGGTTTGGTTCAGACACTCCTAACCAATAAAACCAAATTAACCAGTTAAGTAATTAGCAATGTATCTATTATATATTATATACACATACTTAATAATTTGTTACACCACTCAAGAGTCAAATGTAAGATAATTGTATTGTTACATGTTACATATATTTACGTTAAGAGTTAAAACTCTAATTATGTGGATTGTTATGTGTTATTCATCATAAAAATTGCGAACCGATGCACTAACCGGAAATTTTTCTCGCTTAATGATAATGTGATATTATATTGGTTAACTAATTAACCAAACCGATTAAACTTTAATTTGGTTCATTTGATTGTTGTATTAGTTTGGACGATTTGGTTATGATATTATATTCCATGGTTAATAAAATTTAGACTTATTTGGTTTGGTAATTACCATGATAACCATTTGAACACCCCTATTTGCATAGTAAGAAAAATCAATGATTGAAAAATCGTAGTGTATCAGTAGTTCGACTAGAGAAATTTCCTATTTGAAGTTAGTAGGCAGTATTTAGCGATATAAAATGGTAAAACTACAATTTCAGCATAATACTTTACCGTTGATTTTCCTAAATTGTATGGTTTTACAATTTTTGAGAAAAAAAACCCCTGGTAAAACCGTGCGGATGAAGTGGCGCAATAGCAGTATACCATGAATGCACTACCCTCTAATTGTATTGACACTTGGATCCCATCCAATAAGAATTCTACGTTCTGCCACGTCATTCAATAGAAAGAATCACGTTGAAAGTCAAAATGAGTAGCACAAATTGAACGGTGGAGATTGACGACTGTGACAACCCCATTTCACATCTTGCGAGCCCTCCCCGTCGCCAGCGGGAATTTGGAATTGCGAGGCAACGGATTTTGGCGCCAAAATGTCTCGGCGATGGAGCGGAATCTGTTCTACCGCCTTCCCGGTCAGCCTGTGGCGAGCTCATCCGGTGAAGTCCGAGGAGGAGCTGATACGAGTGCGGATCTGGTGACTAAGGGGGGTGCTTAGTCACTTGACTAAGCCCCTCCTAGCCCTTAGATCTGGACACTTCAATCCAATGGTTAAAAAGTGGGAATGACTATTTAATTAATAACAGGGGTAGTTTGGGTATTATTGAAAATTACGAAGTATACAAACCGGATTTACAATCAGTACAAACCATACAAACATACGAACAGTACAAACTAGAGCGACAAAACATACAAACAGATTTACAAACATTACAAACGTATGAACTGTACAAACAATACAAACTAGACCGACAAACAATACAAACCATACAAAAAGAAAAAACAACCGGGTTGACTTTTGAGGCTCCATCCCTATATAGAGGGGCTCCTTCCCAAAGTCAACCCGGGTGTTTTTTAGACATACAAACAGTACGAACATGGTGGACAAAAATGACAAACTAGACCGACAATCCATACGAACGGGAAAAAACACCCGGGTTGACTTTGGAATGTCCATCCCTATATAGAGGGGCTCCTTCCCAAAGTCAACCCGGGTGTTTTTTAGACATAAAAAACATTACGAACATGGTGCACAAAAATGACAAAGTTCACAAACATGGTGCACAAAAATAACAAAGTTTACAAACATTACAAAAAAAAACGACAAACATTACAAAATAACAAAACATACAAACATTACAAAATATGTGAACAAACATCACAAAATCAGCACTGTCGCCGGGAATTTTTTCTCCGGCGACGGTGTTTGTCGAAAAAATTTTCCGGCCAAAAAATCTCTCTCTCTCTCTCTCACGTGGGATAATTGGATTCCCACAAAAGAAACCAAAACCAACTCTAGCCTCTCTCTCTGTGCACGCAAGGGGAAAAAGTTCCCAGGCCCAGGCGAATTGCGTCGTCGGCTGCCGGGCGGGGAAAAGAAGAGACGAGACGCCCAGGTGAATTGCGACCGACGACCGGCTGCTGTCACATGTGGCCGATGACATGGCGCCAACAAGGTGACAACAAGGCTGCACATGTGTCATGCATGGAAGACTAGTAGCATAGAGATGCTCCTAGGATTCTCCACCTTAATAGAGAGCTTAATGGTGCACTTATTAGCTACATTATGGTAGTATTTATAGAGTGCATAATGGGGGGACTTAATGGGGTGTATTGATGTAGTAGAGGGACATTATGAGGGGCATTGATGCCTTGTATGTGGAGAGGCCTATATAAGGAGCCATCTCCCTCACTTGTAACTCATTCCATCATTTTTGAGAGTAATACACACTAGAGAGTTCTCCCACTTCCTCTGTCTTGTTCTTGTTCTTTGCTTTCAAGTGAGTTGAGAGAAAGGCTGCCTAGCGCTCTAACGGAATTGAGAGCTAGGGCCGCACGATCGAGAGTAAGGTCGTGACAAGTGGTATCAGAGCCTGGTTCGGCTTTGTGCTAGCAAAGTTGAACCTAGAGCCAGAAGGAAAGGAAGAACCTCACCAAAAATGTCGGGATCAGACAGCGGCGTTACCGCCGAAGAGAGGCGCGGAAGGGATCCAACCAAGCATCCCAAGCCAAAGGGTGACAAGTCAAGCACTCGTGATCCAATGGCGGCACTGGAGAGGCGAGTCTCTCGAGTGGAAGTGAAGTTGGCGGAAGACATCACCGCCATCGAGGATTTGGGAGGTAACTTCGCCCAAGTCCAAGGCGATGTTCAAGGAATGGCGGGTCGGTTGACAAGCTTGGAGATCAACCATGATGGGATGCGGGAAGAGCTTGTGGCCCTCATCAACAACACCATCACCGCCTCCATGAACAACGCCCTTGAAGTTGTGAAAGAGCAAGTCCAGGCTGAGCTGGTCGGCGTGAAGGAGGAGATTGCAGACCTCAAGAGTGAGGTCACTCTCGTGAAGAGAGCCATGGCTAGCGGACCAGCCCCGGTGCAATCTGTCCCACGTGCTGATGTTCCAAGACCGAAGAACTTCGGAGGTTCAAGGAACGCGAGGGAGTTAGAGAACTTCCTTTGGAGTCTTGAGCAATACTTCAAGGCATCCGGCATCCAAGAGGATGAGGTAAAACTTCGTACCGCTCCACTATACTTGGTCGATGTTGCAATGGTGTGGTGGAGGCGACGTGAAGCGGACGTCGAAAGAGGTACTTGTGTGATGGTAACGTGGGAAGATTTCAAGAGAGAAATCAAGAGGCAGTTCTACCCGGAGAACGTGGAGTTTGAAGCCCGTTCGAAGTTGAGAAGACTCACCCAGAGGGGTGGAGTTCGAGAATACGTGAAAGAATTCTCGGAGCTGCTTCTAGAGATCCCAGACATCACGGACAAGGAGGCCATGCACGGCTTTCTTGATGGGCTGCAACCATGGGCCAAGATGGAGATGCAACGTCGAGGAGTGCAAGACCTTGCAACTGCCATGGCCACGGCGGAGTCTTTTGTTGAGTACAAAAGGCAAGAGAGCAGCGGCAAAGAGAAGAGTTCGAAGCCCAACAAGGGTGGAGAACAGCAGAAGCCTTTCAAGGAGGGCACTCGCGCTCAACAACACCAAGGTGGTTCGAGCAAAGGGGGTAAGTACGAGCCAAAACCCATGTCTTGCTTCCTTTGCGACGGACCACATCGAGTGCGGGATTGCCCAAGGAAGGCGAGATTGGCGGCCATGGAAGCTCAAGAAGAGGAGCCCAAGGCGGCGGAGGCCAAGATTGGCTCAATCCGCAAGCTTGGCGCGGCAAAAACCGACGTCAAGGAGAGCAAGCGTGGGAGGTGCTATGTTCTGGCGCAATTCATGCTAGGCGAGTCAAAAGCCTTGGTGGATACCGGTGCCACGGACAACTTCCTTCGCATCGAGGAGGCAAACCGGCTGGGTATTGCTTACGAGAAGGGGCAAGGGAGGCTCAAGACGATCAATTCGGAGTCCATCCCAATCCATGGAGTTGCTCACAACGTGCCAATGAAGCTCGGCGAGTGGGAAGGTCTCATCGACTTTTCCGTCGTCACCATGGACGATCACCCAGTCATCCTCGGCATCAACTTCCTCGACAAGGAGGGAGTGCTCTTGAAGCCCAACTCCAACACGATGTGCTTGGAGAAGGAGGGGGAGTTTCACACGATCCATCTCTTGAGAGAAGATGGCCCCCATAGTGCTTTATCGGCCATGCAGGTATTGAAGGGGTTCAAGAAGAATGAACCAACCTTTCTTGTGTCCTTGAAAATGGAGGAAGAAGGAGGCTCAGCGGGAATCACAACTCCCATCATCGAAGGTGTCCTCGAAGAGTTCGACGACGTGATGCCATCGGAGTTGCCCAAGAAGCTGCCACCAAGAAGAGAGGTGGACCACAAGATCGAGTTGGAGCCAGGAGCGAAGCCCCCTTCGCGAGCACCATACCGCATGTCGCCACCGGAGCTAGAAGAGTTGCGGAGGCAGCTCAAGGACTTGGTGGACGCAGGCTACATGCGGCCATCGAAGTCACCTTTTGGAGCACCGGTGTTGTTCCAAAAGAAGAAGGAAGGGTCGTTGCGGATGTGCATCGACTATCGAGCCATCAACAAGTTGACGGTGAAGAACAAGTGGCCGATTCCCAACATTGGCGATCTGTTCGATCAGCTTGGAGATGCGATGTGGTTCACCAAGCTTGATCTTCGCTCGGGCTACTATCAAGTGCGGATAGCAGAGGGCGACGAGCCAAAGACAGCTTGTGTGACGAGGTATGGCTCTTACGAGTTTCTTGTGATGCCATTCGGTCTCACCAACGCACCAGCCACGTTTTGCACTTTGATGAATCAAGTGTTCGAGCCATTCTTGGACCGGTTTGTCGTGGTCTACTTGGATGACATCGTCGTGTATAGCAAAACACTCGACGAGCATGCCGAGCACCTACGCCAAGTCTTCCAAGTCCTTCGCGACAACGAGTTGTACGTCAAGAGGGAGAAGTGCACGTTTGCCGCCACGGAGGTTCCATTCTTGGGGCACATCATTGGTGGAGGCAAGTTGAAGATGGATGGAGCAAAGGTGCAGGCAATCCAAGAATGGGAGCCGCCGACGAAGGTGCCAGAGTTGCGGTCATTCCTCGGCCTTGCCAACTACTATCGGAGGTTTATCAAGGGCTACTCCAACATTGCAGCACCCTTGACGGATCTCTTGAAGAAGAACAAGGCGTGGGATTGGTCGGAAAGGTGCCAAGAAGCATTCGAGGCCTTGAAGCAAGCGGTGGTAAAGGAGCCCGTGCTCGTGCTCCCCAACCCAACGTTGGCCTACGAAGTGCAGACCGATGCATCTGACTTTGCAATTGGAGGAGTGTTGATGCAAGATGGGCATCCCATTGCCTTCGAGAGTCGGAAGCTTAGCGAGACGGAGAGGCGATACACCGTTCAAGAGAAGGAGATGACGGCCGTGGTGCATTGCTTGCGCACATGGAAGCACTACTTGTTGGGGTCAAAGTTCGTAGTGAAGACGGACAACGTGGCAACGAGCTACTTTCTGACGCAGAAGAAGCTCACCCCCAAGCAAGCGAGGTGGCAAGACTTTTTGGCCGAGTTCGACTTCGTCATGGAATACAACCCAGGCAAGGCGAATTCCGTTGCCGATGCTCTTAGCCGCAAGAGTGCAGCCGCAAGCATCAGCCAGCCCATGTTTCCTTTGAAGGAGCGGATCGTTGAAGGCCTTGGCCATGACCCCTTCGCCAAAACCGTAGCGGAGTACATCGAGCAAGGCAAGACTCGACGGTTTTGGATGAAGGATGGGCTCATCATGACCAAGGGGGAGCGAGTGTTCGTGCCAAGGTGGGCCAACTTGAGGAAAGAGATCATGAAGGAGTGTCATGACTCCAAGTGGGCGGGCCATCCCGGCATCGAGAGAACGCAAGCGCTCATCGAAGAAGCATACTTCTGGCCGCGTATGAGAGACGACGTGGAGATGTATGTGAAGACTTGTCTTGTGTGCCAACAAGACAAGATGGAGCAGAGAAGCCCGGCAGGCTTGCTAGAGCCCTTGCCCACACCTCAACGACCATGGGAGAGTGTAAGCATGGACTTCATCATCGGACTTCCCAAAGTCGATGGATGCGGTTGCATCATGGTTGTTGTGGACCGGTTTTCGAAGTATGGAGTGTTCGTCCCCGGCCCAAAAGACATGACGGCAGAGGATGCGGCGCGACTATTCTTCAAGAACGTGGTCAAGTATTGGGGCGTTCCTAGCAACATCGTGAGCGACAGAGATGGGCGCTTCACGGGCAGATTTTGGCGAGAGTTGTTCAAGATCATGGGCTCAGACTTGAACTTCTCGACGGCATTTCATCCTCAAAGCGACGGACAGACGGAGCGGGTGAATGCCTTGTTGGAAGTGTACTTGCGGCACTACGTGAGTGCAAACCAACGAGATTGGGTGAAGTTGATGGATACGGCACAATTCTCCTACAACTTGCACCGCAGCGAGTCGACCAACACGAGTCCATTTGAGTTGGCGACGGGGCAGCAACCTTTGACACCTACGACGGTGGCAACGGGGTATAGAGGCAACAGTCCGGCAGCCTACAAGTTCGCTAAAGGCTGGCACGAGAAGATGGAGATGGCCAAGTCTTACTTAGCCCGCGCTAGTAAGAAGATGAAGAAATGGGCGGACAAGAAGAGGCGGCACTTGGAATTCGAAGAGGGAGACATGGTGATGATCAAGTTCTACCCTCATCGCTTCAAGCATCTCAAGAACGTGCACAAGGGACTGCTTCGCCGCTATGAAGGGCCATTCCCCATCGTGAAGAGGATTGGCGCGGTGGCATACAAGGTTGAGTTGCCGACGCACTTGGAGATCCATCCGGTCTTTCATGTGAGCCAACTCAAGCCTTTCCACGAAGACAAGGATGATGAGCAACGAAGAGAGTCGCAACGCGCTCCAACACTCATCACCAAGACACACGACCATGAAGTTGAAGAAGTCATGGCGCGTCGTGTCATTCCTCGTCGTGGCGTACATCCAAGCTTTGTGGAGTACTTGGTCAAGTGGCGCAACCTTCCGGAAAGTGAAGCAACTTGGGAGAAAGAGCTCACGCTTTGGAAGAACAAGGACTTGATCGATGCATTCCATCAAGAGGACGCGACGAGGGCGTCGCGAGCATAGGTGGGGGAGGATGTCACATGTGGCCGATGACATGGCGCCATGGTTGTCACGCCAGCCGGCGTGCCACCGGTTGTACCGGGTTCAACCGGTACCAGTGATAAAACCGGCGTGACACCACCGGTATGACCGGCATGATCGATATACGAATCTCTAAGTAAAATGACCTTATTTTAGATAATTTAATTGATAAAAAATATTTTATTATTTATTTTATGAGTATAAAAGTTAAATATTGATGCTATTTGTTGGATTCAAATATAAATGTTTAGGTATTGACGTTAAATGTCATGTTTAAATATGAGTATTTATAATTTTATTTGTAATATTGACCGGCATGAACCGGCACAAACCGGTATGTGCCACCGGTTGAACCATTCCACTTGCTAAACCGGCACACTGGCATAAACCGGTTTGACAACCTTGCATGGCGCCAACAAGGTGACAACAAGGCTGCACATGTGTCATGCATGGAAGACTAGTAGCATAGAGATGCTCCTAGGATTCTCCACCTTAATAGAGAGCTTAATGGTGCACTTATTAGCTACATTATGGTAGTATTTATAGAGTGCATAATGGGGGGACTTAATGGGGTGTATTGATGTAGTAGAGGGACATTATGAGGGGCATTGATGCCTTGTATGTGGAGAGGCCTATATAAGGAGCCATCTCCCTCACTTGTAACTCATTCCATCATTTTTGAGAGTAATACACACTAGAGAGTTCTCCCACTTCCTCTGTCTTGTTCTTGTTCTTTGCTTTCAAGTGAGTTGAGAGAAAGGCTGCCTAGCGCTCTAACGGAATTGAGAGCTAGGGCCGCACGATCGAGAGTAAGGTCGTGACACTGCCCGGCGGGGAAAAGAAGGGACGAGACGCACGGCAGGGAGGGAATAATCGGAGGACAAAAATATTTAATAAATAAAAATAAAAATAATCATGCAATTACTGTTTTGCCCTTCATTAAATTAGATTAATTGTAGCCATTGGATTTTAATGAGGTGCAATTGTTGAGATTTACTTAGTCATGTGACTAAGGGTCCCCTTAGTCACCTGATCTTAGCCCAGCTGATACACCGCCGGAGAAGATGCCGCGTCAGATCCCACCGGCAAACCTTCTCTGCGAGTGCCAACGGCGGAGGTTCTTCGCTCTTCTCCAGCAGTATTATGCACAAGTTCGTCAAGGTTCCAAACAGGTTAACTCCTAACAAGTCAGCGTTCGTCGCCATTTGCCAGTGTTACTTTCTTATCTTTTCCAATTTTATTTGGATCATTCTAGGGTTTGGCTCTTCTGCGAGATGTGAATCTTTATTGAATGCGCTAGTTTTGCCAGCGAATTGAGCTTTGGAGTTTATTTAGGGGGGATGGTGGTATTGCAGGAACCTGTGAACGAGGAACCATTGATGAGAATTCAGTAAAAAGATAGTGTCCTTAACTCCGATAAGCTATGAGGTTTCTTACTCTCTAATAGGGATGATAGATGATGGTGTCTTGTGGCCTGAGACACGTGATGAGCAACCCCTCTTTTGGCGACTACAGCGAATTCATGAAGACATTCCTAAGTTAGGTGACATGGATGATTGTTCCTTGTGTTGGATAATGGCAAGAGAGCTAAACTTCTACCACGGTCCACCACCTTGGGGAAGAATCAGGGAGAGATGTGTGATGATTTAGCTAGCTCGTTTGAATGGCTTAACCCTTCTGGACTTAAGGATGCTAATAGGAGGAGGAGGCCTGATCATTCTCTTTATCACAAAAAAGAAGCTTTACATTCCACCTGACGTGTTGAGGAAGATGTCGGCATCTCAGAAGCAATATGGGACTGTCAAATGTCAGTACATGGTGGTTCTACTTTTCTTTGCAGTGGTCAGTTTATCTCATTCTTTTGATGCGTTCTCAATGATATGGTCTAGTCTTGAACTTTACTTATCAACCAAATGTACATGATAACCAAACTGTATATTTGAACTTGAAGTCCCTTTTTGCATCTTTCTGACTGATTGCTGGATGTTGATTTCTCAATTAACTCTGATGTTCTAAACTCTGCAACTTCACATCCATTACATGGGAAGCTCTATGAGCTGAATGCTGAAATTAGTCACAGGGAGCTTGATTGGAAAATAACATTAAGTGTTGTTGGAAATGTCGGCAAGTAAGTTTCATATGAGTTTATACCTCACTGCTACTTGTAGACACTGTTGATAGTTGTTTTCTTAGAAATGGTAACTCATTTTGAGATCAGGTTAGAATATCCGAATTTGGGATCTATGATGCTATAGAGAAACTCATTGCTTGGGGGGGGGGGGGGGGGGGGGGGGGTAAGCAAACAGTAACTCTGAAATTATGGTCGGATATTTCTTTGAGGTTCTTGGGTTAGTCTCAGCCCGAGGATGAGTCAGAACGTGTTCTAGGACAAGGTCATTTAAGATAGTTACTGTTGGGAAATTGCACGCTTGAAAATTACAATTAGTGGCTGCTACCTATCTTTCCTTGATCATACAAATTCACACTCATCATTCATTAACAGATTTCAAACTGAGAAATCCAAAATCTTACATTGAGAGAATTAGAAATTCCTATAGGCATGTTTTTGGACAATGCCGGCATGAGCTTATTTGCTAGTGGATTACTTGTTTTGATTTCATTCGACAGAACTAGTCAACTACCTTGTCGGCCAAGGTTTACATTCAAATATCAGTGTTTGCTATGTTTTGAAAAAATGCGTTAGCAAAGAGAAAAAGAAATGTGCTCAGGGCACTCGAGATTCGTTTCCATGAGTTTAAATTTACTGGAAATGACATTCTTGCTCATTGTTTATCATTCTGTATGTTTTATTTGCCTGCCTGAGGGAGTTGATTTGTTTTTCTCGATAATCTTTGTCAAGATATAAAGTTGGGAGAGTGGAGCAGTCGGAGACATCTGATTAAGCAAAGGCCAGGGGTTGAACTTCTGTATGTTTAATCACATTAATTAGAAGAGCACTAGATTATATTTCTAAGCTCTTTTCTCCCTGGAAAACTTTTATCACTTGTACCCTTGACATTAAACAGGTAATTGCCAGAAAAATTAGTCCAGGTTCTTTCTCCAGCAACTAGGACTGATGGTATCATTGGGCCAGATGCTGTTCATCTTCTTGCAATTGAGGGGCTAGTTTCAATAACCAAATATTGGGTTATCTTTCCATGACGATGGGACTGCTGCTGTCAGTCTTCTTGGTCCTAGAGGAACGATAATATCTCTGCAATTTTCCACGATGAAGTTGTTAACCATTTTTGTATTTCCTAAGGATGCAAAGCTTAAATTATTCTATGCTTTTGTCAATTAATTTTTTTACTCGATCTTAACAGGATTGTGATCTATGGATTTGTTCTTCTTACTTAAAGTATGTGTTTTATTCTTCGATTATCATGTGGTGTATGCCAAGTACCCACTAAAGCCGATGCTATCAGCCAGTTTGCTAACCTTGTACAGTTGTTTTATGCATTGTCATCAGGAAAATCATGGGCTGGATAATGTTGGAATGAGTTATGGATTTGATTTTGTTGATTGTGCTGCTCTGCGATTTTGGATTGGCTCCATAGAAGATGCTGCTTGCTCTTCTGATTTGGGGGCACTGTTAATGCAAGTATGATCCATTTCTGATAAACTTAAAGCTGATGCAGTGCAGCTGGTAATCTTGTGAAATACACAGTGTGATCTGATTGCTTCTTTGTTATTTTATTGAGATGTGGCCTAAAGAAGTTATATATGAAAGTCAAGGTAAGCATCTTTTTTTCTGTTAATCTTGGATGTGGGGTTCAGTAAACAATGGCATTTGAATAGGTTAATTTAGACACCGAGGAAAAATGAAGATCATAAAAGGAGCTTCTTTGGTTGTCTTCAGACCCGCACTTGTAGAAATATCCGTCCAGGCTTATTGTCAGCTAAGTGTCGTAATTTTCATTTATCTCATTAAGTGTAAAGCAGAGGAAGTACACATTAACTGGTGAGCACTGTTGCTGCTTCAGAGAATGAAAAATTGTTTCTGTGCATCTATTTTTGTTGCTTGTCGGGGTTAGCCATAATATATTTTTTGGTCCACTCCCTAGTTAGTCTTGTGTTTTCAATATTCCATTTATAAGTTCCTGGATTTCCCGTGAATTGTTGCTGGCATGGTTGATGAGCCGCACTACCAGTGTGACCTTAACCAGTTATCTTTCTTGAACAATCTAGTGAATAGTTAATGGATCCTTGCTTAACATGAAGGTTTGGATTGCACTGAACTCATTCCCCCTACCTTTGTCTATATTTCAGGTCCCACAGCACCTCGGTTGACTCCCGTACTGCCTGCTACTACTGGTTTTGCTGATGCATCTGAAGTAAGGAATTTGATCCAGTTAAAGGACTTGTTTGGAGGGTTTTCTATCCCATTGAATAGTGTACTTGACAGTATAATGCATCAAGACCTAGCTTTATTAGTTCATGGTGGTCTTGTCGGTCATCTCTCTAGGTTGATGGTATGCACACTCATAATCCCCTCAGTTTGTTCCCCGCTAATATGCTAGTGTTATAGATAACCTCCTCTGCTAAAAAGATCATTGCCGCAATTGGATGTGGAACACAACTGCTCTGACAATTATTCAGCGATAGTGAGACCTCCACTGAGTCAGGCGTGTGCATGGCCGGCTGAGAGTGAAGTGTGGGTGTACAGGGGAAGTGACCAAGGGAAGAAGAGAAACAAAACAAGTAAGTAGCTCCAAAGGTGGGTGTTTTTGATAAATTAATGGGGTCTGGTTTTGTTGACTATGGTTGCAGTCTTGCCATTAGGTTTTGTTGCTCATTGTTAATGGCTTCCTTTGGCACAGACAAATGGTGGCTTTTCGCATGGGTAGAAAGCTTAGAACCTTATAAATGGCAGCTTCCTCTCTCTCAGGATTCTCACTTGGCAGTTTCCCCGCCAATTGACTTCCCGCCAATTACGACCATCCACTCTTAACATTTCCATCCCGATCAGTTCAATCCGCTCCCAACATGGAAATCCAGACGATTCCCGTCTCCAACATTGATCTCTGAAAGATTGCCGGAGAGAAAGTTTCAGAAACGGTCGCCGGAGAAGAAAAATGGAGGTGATGGAGGCGGAGCCAATGACGAACAGGAAGAGCAAGAAGAAGAGGATCGAGCTGGGGATCTCCTGTATGCTGAACACGGAAGTCTCCTCTGTCCTCGCCGTGCTCCGCCGCCCGCCGGCAGACCCCACGGCGGCGCAATTCCTCTCTCAGGAGGAAAAAAACTCCGACAACGCGCTGGTCCACACGTTCAAATTCCTCCGGACCCTAATCTTCAACCCGCCACAGGACTGGCAGACCATGGACCCAGCCGTCTACCTGACCCCGTTCCTCGACGCCATTCAATCCGACGACATCCCCGCCGCGGCCACCTCCATCGCACTCTGCTCCATCCTCAAGATCCTCACCGTCGGGATCTTCGACGAGCGCACCACGGGGGCCAGGGACGCGATCAACTCCGTCGTGATGGGAATCACGTGCTGCCGGCTGGAGCGGACCGACCCAGTCTCGGAGGACTCCATCATGATGCGGATCCTCCAGATCCTAACGGCGATCATGAAGCACCGAACCGCCATCCTGCTCGCCGACCAGGCCGTCTGCACCGCCGTCAACACTTGCTTCCAGGTCGTGCAGCAGTCGGCGAGCAGGGGCGACTTGTTGCAGCGGAGCGCCAGGTACTGTTAGAATATTCACAGTACGCATAGTATTATATTATGTACAACAGTACTCATTGTATTCTGATTTCTCAACAGGTACACGATGCACGAATTGGTGCGGATGATCTTCTCGAAGCTCCAGGACATCGAGGTGAAACAGGGGGAGGAATTGGAGACAGACATTGACGATGATGCTGATTTCGACGGGAATCTGGACTCGGGGTATGGGATCCGGAGCGCGGTGGACATCTTCCATTTCCTCTGCTCGTTGCTCAATGTCGTGGAAGTTGTGGAGAGCGAAGGGAATCTGTACAGGACTTCTGATGAGGATGTTCAGCTTTTCGCCCTGGTTTTGATCAATTCGGCGATCGAGCTCAGTGGAGACGCCATTGGCAATCATCCCAAGCTTCTGAGGATGATTCAGGATGATTTGTTCCATCATTTGATTCACTATGGAACTTCCTCCAGCCCACTCGTTTTGTCCATGATCTGCAGCACCGTGCTCAACATTTACCATTTCCTGCGCAGGTCAGGAGCATTCAACTCTGGCTTTCCCTTTAATAGCTCTTTGATTTCTTCCGCTTATTGGGACAATGGTTTTTCTCTCATGTTGGGATTGCAGATTTGTTCGTCTGCAGTTGGAAGCCTTCTTCAAGTTCGTGCTACTCCGAGTGGCATCTGCCGGAATCTCAGCTCAGCTCCAGGAAGTGGCAATTGAAGGAATCATCGACTTCTGCAGGCAACCAACCTTCATCATCGAAGCATACGTGAACTACGACTGCGACCCGGTCTGCATCAACGTGTTCGAGGAAACCGCAAAGCTACTCTGCAAGCTCTCGTCCCCGGGCGCCAGCCCGTCCACTTCACTGCAAGCTCAAGCATTCGAGGGTCTCGTCGGAATCATCCACAACATCGCCGAGAACATCAACCGAGAAGGCGATTCCACGCCTTCGGGTCCTTACCCGGTTCACATCACGGAGTATAGCAAGTTCTGGATGGACAGGCCGCTCGACGGCAGCGAAGCCTCCATATCATACCTCCGAACTAGGAAAGCACAGAAGAGAAAGCTCGTAATCGCCGGGAACCATTACAGCAGAGAAGAGAGGAAAGGTTTGGAGTATCTCCGGTTAAGCCTGATGTTCCCGGACCAGCCCGACCCGAAAGATTACGCCTTCTTCTTCCGGCTCACCCCGGGGCTTGACAAAACCATGATCGGCAATTACCTGGGCGATCCTGATGACTTCCACATTCAAGTTCTGAAGGAGTTCACCTGCACATTCGAATTCTCCGGCATGATCCTCGACACGGCCCTCCGCTCCTATCTCGCCACGTTCCGGCTACCCGGAGAGTCGCAGAAGATCCAGAGGATCCTCGAAGCATTTTCCGAGCAATTCTACGAGCAACAGCCTTCTGACATCTTCGCCGGGAAAGATGCGGTCTTTGTCCTCTGCTACTCTCTCATCATGCTCAATACCGACCAGCACAACCCTCAGGTGAAGAAGAAGATGACGGAGGAAGAGTTCATCCGGAACAACAGAGCAATCAACGCCGGGGAGGATCTGCCGAGGGAGTACTTATCTGAGCTTTTCCAGTCAATCTCCAGGAAGGCGATCTCGCTCTTCGTCCAGACCGGCGGTCAGCCCGAGATGAACCCAGGGCTGTGGGTCGAGCTGATAAGCGCTTCGAAGACACTCCAACCATTCTATCTCGCCGATTTCGACCGCCGGTTGGGCCGGGACATGTTCTCCTCCGTCGCTGGGCCGGCGGTGGCGGCTCTCACCGCTTTCTTTGAACAGGCCGACGAGGACGAGCTGTTCCACGAGTGTGTCGAAGCGCTGATCTCCGTTGCCAGAATTGCTCAGTACGGGCTAGAAGACGCTCTCGACGAGATGCTCGCTTCGCTCTGCAAATGCACGACGCTGCTGAACCCTTACGCCTCGTCGGAGGAGACTCTGTTCGCGTTCAGCCACGACCTGAAGCCTCGAATGGCCGTTCTCGCAGTTTTCAGCATCGCGAACAATTTCGGCAGAGCGATTCGCGACGCGTGGAGGCCGATCTTGGACTGCCTGTTGAAGTTGAAGAAGCTCAAGCTTCTCCCCTCGTCGGTGATCGAGCTCGACAGCTCCTCCGATTCGGAACAATCCCAAAACAACGGAAGCGTTGGCAGTGGCGGAGTAGGAGTAATTTTTACTTCTTCCTCTCAAGATCAAAGATCGCGGTCCACCACCATGATCAGCAAATTCTCCCACTTTTTCTCTATAGACAGCATGGAGGAATCGTTATCACTCGGTCTCAACGAATTCGAGCAGAATCAGAAGGTGATCAAGCAATGCCAGATTGGAAGCATTTTCACAAACAGCTGGAACTTGCCCAACGAGACTCTGCTCTACCTCGGCCGCTCTCTGATCTTCGCCTCCGCGGGAAAAGGTCAGAAATTCGCTACTCCGATCGAGGAAGAAGAAACCATCGAGTTCTGCTGGGATCTGATCGCCGCCCTCTCCTTTGCCAACATCAACCGATTGCAGGACTTCTGGCCTTCGTACCACGACAATCTCGTCGAAGCAATCCATTTCCCTCTGTTTTCCGCGATCCCATTTGCAGAGAAAGTCATAATTGCGCTCTTCAGAATATGCCTCAAGCTTCTTTCTTCCGCCAGACTCGACAAGCTCCCCGAAGAGCTCATCTTCAAATCCATCAACCTGATGTGGACGATCGACAAGCAGATTCTCGACACGTGTTGCGAATCCATCACTAAGTCCGTCAGCAAGATCCTGATCGAGTACCCTGCCAACTTGCAGAGCTTTTTGGGCTGGAAATCGGTGCTGCATCTCTTATCGGTCTCCGGTCGCCATCTAGAGACATATGATCAAAGCGTCGAGACGCTGATCATGTTGATCTCCGATCAAACCCATGTTTCCAGGACGAATTACCCATTCTGCATCGACTGCACATTCGGATTTGTCGCCCTGAAGAACAGCCCCCTGGAGAAAAACCTGAAGATTCTCGACCTGTTGGCAGAATCAGTCACATTGCTAGTCGAATGGTACAAGAACTATTCCGACCCGGGGATCAACATGAATTTCAGCACAGCAAGCACTGGGAGCAACCCTGAATTCAGCCTGTCTACGTTCTCGATCAACCTGTTCATCAAGCTGGGAGAGGCGTTCAGGAAAACCAGTCTGGCGAGGCGGGAGGAGATAAGGAACCACGCGATCAAGTCTCTTCGGAGGAGCTTCGAGTTGGCCGAGGAACTCGACTTCTCGCCCGCCAACTGCATGAACTACTTCAACCTTGTGGTGTTCGCGATGGTGGACGATCTCCACGAGAAGATGATCGAGTACTCGAGGCGGGAAGGGGCTGAGAGGGAAGTGAGGAGCATGGAAGGGACGTTGATGCTGGCGATGGAGTTGCTGACGGATGTTTACCTGCAGTTCCTGAAGCAGATTGCGGCGAGCCTCGGGTTCAGGACGTTCTGGCTGGGTGTGTTGAGGAGGATGGATACCTGTATGAAGGCTGATCTTGGGGTTTATGGTGAGGCCAAGCTGCAGGAGGTGATTCCAGTACTTTTGAGGAAGATGATTACGAGGATGAAAGGAGATGAGATTTTGGTGCAGAAGGAAGATGATGATCTGTTTGAGGTTACGTATATTCAGATACAGTGGATTGCGCCTTCTCTCAAGCAGGAATTGTTTCCAGAGCTGGAGATTTAGAGGGCCAGTTTTTTTGGTTTAGGTAGAAATTTTTTGGTTCAATCTTTGTTCGGCTGTGTGTAATTTTTTTGAGCAAAAAATAGGTTAGTTTTAGTACTGCTTTGGCTAACCTGAATGAGTGTATATATGATACATACACAAGTAACTGGTGATGTTTTGATCTGATCGAAAACGATTGAAGTACTTCTTGACGAGTTTTGATTGTCATATTGGATGACTTTTTAGTTTTGGGTTCTAATAAATATGAATATAATTGAAAATAATGAATTGAATCGCTACAACTAGATGATTTTGTGATATCCTCATTTTTTTATAGTACTCATAATAATTCATCTTAATATGAACCACAACCTTTAAACCAAGGATTGTGAAATCGTACTGAAGGTTGTACTTGAAAAGTCAGCGGTAGAGTATTTGTGCTGAAACTATAGTTTAATCGTGGTTCAACTGTTTCATAAGCTAAAAAGTACCTACCGATTTAAACTCCAATAGGCAATTTTTTCGGTTAGACTATTGATATTGATAGAACTTTACTGCTTTAAACGCTTGCGGAGTGTCAAAAACTCAACATCACTTCAACTATAGATCAAAACACAACTTAAAGTAGATTGTGAAATTGTGAACCACAACCTTTAAACCAAAAATTGTGAAATTGTGCCAGAAGTAGTACCAGAAACGCTCGCAATATTTCATACTGAAACCGTAATTCAGCTATTTCATACGTCTAAAAATCATTTATCGATTGAGACTTCTATATGAGGTTTTTCAATTGGACTGTAGTTGTTGGTGAGTGTCAACGTCACCTCATCCATAGATCAAAACACAACTTAACTTTTGTTACCCAGATGACATCCTTGCATAAGATAAGGAGCTAAATGATTCTTTTGGATGTCTTCAGTTTAACTATAGCTACTATGCAATTATGTCTCTAACCACCATCTGTTTCCTTTTAGTTCCTTTCCCAACTTTCATCATTGCAGCAATTTGACCTCTCTAATAATTGCATGATTGGTGACTGAAATTACAAAAAAACGTTCATATTTGGTCACTAGAAATATTTAATTCCGTTCATGGTCATTAACTTTACATTTTCGTTTCATCATTGGTCACTCTCTGTCCAACTCCGTTAAATTTGTCCTACGTGACAATCAACTCTATTAGTTGACTGTTAAATGAGTGATGTGGCAAATAAAAAATAAATTTTTTAATAATTTCCACCTGCCCAACGTTAGCCACTTCCCCTTAAAAACACCATCATTTCCCACCTGCGCCGTCGGAGACCGCCTGAGCTCCCTACCAGACAAACTCTTCCGCCGGATCTCATCTCCGCAGACCTTGATACTCGAGTCGCCGTCCAAACCACCCTCCTCTCCACCCGCTAGCGCACCGCCTGGAAATCAACCTTCACTTCCCTCCACTTCCAAACCTCCTCCCCTTCGGCCGACGCCAACTGCTTCCGCCTCTTCGTCGAAAAGATCCTCACCCTCCGTGATCCTGATTCCGTCGACCTCTCCACCCTCTCTCTCGGCGCCCACGACCCCACCGGCCCCGAATTAACTGATCTCTTTGACCGGATCTACTCCTACGGCTCAACCCACCGCACCTGAACCTTCCGCTTCACCGACCTAACCCTAACCACCCCAATTAATCCATTCCCCCCCAAAATTCACCTCCCTCCGTGCAACCGTCAAACACCTCGAAATCTCCACCAAATTCGACTTCCACAAACTGATCGCCGAGTCCTCGAATCTCCCAACCTGACCTCCCTCCGCCTTCGCCGCCGCGTGATCCCCACCTCGACCCGAACCGTGGCGGTGTATTCCGACCCGGAGCGCAGCATTCACAAGCCAATGCCGAATGTGGAGAAGCTGGAGCTGGTCCACTGCGAGTTTGAGACTACCGTCGCGGCATGGTGTTCCGAGAGAAGCTGGTGGAGATCGTGATCGTAGGCGATGACGGTGAGAATAGTAAGAACTACCACGGTCAGAACATGTACCTGTGCACGCCGAGGTGGAAATTATTAAATTTTTATTTTTTATTTGCCACATCATTCATTTAACAGTCAACTAATAGAGTTGACTGCCACATAAGACAAACTTAATAGAGTTGGACAGAGAGTGATCAATGATGAAACGAAAATGTAAAGTTAATGACTACCAACGAAATTAAATATTTCTAGTAACCACACATGAACGTTTTTTATAATTTCAGTGACCAACCATGCAATTAACCCAAAAGTATAATCTCCATCTCCTCCTACTTGCTACTGAGCTTTACTAAACTTTGTTTGGTTGAGGTTTGCTACTGACAACATTGCATGAAAAGACCACAGATTAAGGCTTTTCCAAATAGGCAGGAGGACCCATTTTCATCTGTGGTTATTAGACTGCAAACTTTTGACAAATTGCTTAGATTAAAAACAAACACCAACTTCAATCATTATAAATTCAAACAGAAGCAACAAAAAATTATCCTTTCTACCTTAATGCCAATCAATCACGAGCCTGCACATGGCTTACCCAGTGTTTTAGAGACCCTTTTTAACAGTACTCTAGGAAGCTTGATGTTTCTGCTCATTGCCAAAAAACCCTTCTGAGCTTTTACCAATTCTGTCTCTGCAGACCAGGATGCCGAGGAGAAGAGGAACAAACCACATCCTCGACTCCTTCCATCACCTCAACGCAACCCGAGTAGTGAAGGAATCCATTAGAGTGTTGCTTCTTCATCTAACTCACTTCCACTCCATCTCTGTCTTCCTCTTCTCCCCTCTCTCAGTCTCACTCTTCATCTCCCACTTCCTCACCCATCATTTCCCCTACTTGACACCCTTCACAGCCAACCTGCTTCGAGGCTATGGACCTCCTCCCCTTCTACTCGAACTGCTTTTGAAGGCATCTCTTCGCGTCATCATCTGTTTCCCTTCATCCATTACCTTCTTGCTCCTGGGGAAAGCGGCTACAATTCAGGCAGTCTCCGACAGTTACGATGGAGTCGGTCTCGATAGAAGACGGATACTCCTAAGAAGTGGGGAAGCTTGGTTCAACCTACTCCAGACAAGTCTATGCGAATCCATCGTCGTACTTTGTCTTTGGGGAGTTTTTGCAGTTAGCTTGGCAACAATACCAATCATACTATCTGCCTGCGGGTTGTGTTCACAGATCATGGGATTTCAAATAGTTCTGGGAGTCCTTGGGGTGCCATTTTGTCTAGGGTTTGCATATATAGTAGTTTTAGGTAATCTGGCTAAGGTTGCAGCTGTTCTAGAGCCAGATTGCTGTGGGTTTAAGGCCTTGGTTGAGGCAAATACTGTAACAGTCAAAAGACAGCAGACGGCATTGGCCGTGAGCTTGGTAGGGAACATGGGGTTTACAATAGTGGAGCTTTTGTTTGAGGTTAGGGTACAAAGAGGGTTCAGTTTTTGGGAAGTCTCTTTGTTGATTTCTATGTATTCTTTCATGCTGGTTTTCGACACCGTTATGAACGTTGTGTTCTACTTTGCATGTAAAATCTAGGCATCTCAATATAACGATAATGAATCCTGATTCTTTTACTGCAGCAGTTCCAGTCCTTTTTTGTTCTGAAGGTCTAGGATCATGATTCCATGTGGAATTCTCGAAGGCGGCGAATAATTAGTAATTGGTTACATCATACATGCACAACAAAGAACATTGAAACAAGGCTCATGAGAAGTGCAAAAAAATGATAAGAAGAACAGCAGCAGAAGAGTTAAATCTTTAGCTATTTGAACTATGGCCATTGCAGAACTTCCCATGCAATCAAGACTCTGGAAAGCCAAGCTATCTCCATTCCTGTGATTGCAATACATGGAACGAACCCCCTAACTGTTTTTGCTTCTGAGGATTGAGGTACACCGCGTTGCAGCGAACCAGAGCCTGTTTTTTCTTCGGAACACCACCGTTTCAGGCCTCAGCTGCATCTCTATCGGGTCCAGATTCAGAAGGTTAAACACACTTGGAGTACCCTGTTTAGTATCGAAGTACAATACGGGTCACAACATAGTTCAGAAAGATGTTGAAAGAATTTAATGGATCAAACAAACCACTCAAAAGCTTACAATGCTGTAATTCACTTCATCATCCAAAAGTAAGGGAATCACGAATTTCCTACAATTAACGAGAAAACTGTAGTTGCTTACAATGACTAAAGCACATATCAGGATTCAATCTCCAGACCGAGAGATATTTTAGTACTGCAATGACATGTATGTGTTAAATGCCTGACCCAGCCATTATCAAACACAACAGAATGTCAATTCACCACTATATTTTATTGTCTAGAATATATCAACTTAAAAATGAGAGCATCTGGGAACACTGCTAGCACGAATTAAGAAAGTTTTATGTTAATAGGAAGCATTATGAATGGCTAATATCAGTTTTATAGACGAGCAGAGTTTAAAACCGACAGCCCAACAAGCACTCAAGTCTCAACTGGATTTTCAATTTAAACAATCAAGATTCATCATCTATTGATGGAACCTTGCTGCTGAACCAATATGTTTCACACCAATTATCCCATTTTCTATCATCCTCCTATCCGTTCCTAACTATGATCCCCACATTGCACATACTAATGTCAAATAACTAATTCTCCTTGAAAATTCTTTCATTAATTTCTTACGAAAACAAATTTCATCACTTATATACAAATATCACATAGCTGCAAGCCTGCAATACCAAGCCCTTAATCCAAAACAGTATAAAAAGAATAGCTAAGCTAGGAACACCACTAGCATCCCCATATTTCTCCGCACTAAAGTTCAAAACTTGAGGGCTATTATACAACACTTTCAACAAACATAATCAATAATATTACTCACATTATTCGCTGACGTTCACACCCGAATCATTGTCACCACTGCCAGTGTCTCCTTCCGTCCCTGCCCCATCTTCATTATCACCACCACCACCACCACCAGCATCAGAATCCGAACCAGTATCATCCTCCGCATCGTCTTCCTCCTCCTCTTCCTCTCCTTCTCTGATTTTAGCAATTTCGCTCTGAGCCCTCTCCAAAATTTGCTCCTTCTGCAACTCCAATTCCCTCTGGAAATCAACCCGCATTCTTTCCAATTCCAACATCTGATCCCTCTTACTGCTCTCTATCTTCTCATATATCTCACCAAACTTATGAACTGAATCCGCCAACACAGTCAAACCCTTGAACATATCACCACTAAGCTCCCCCTTATCCTCTTCTTCTTCCTCTTCCTCTTCATCTTCCTCGTCGGATTCACACGGACTATCCCTCATCTCATCATTCATATTAGCACGTTCCAAATACACTCCAGTATCCATAAAAACATACTGTCCTGAATCCACACCACAAGATAAACTAAACCCACCACTACTGCTCCCTACATGTCCATTCTCTTGCCTCATTAGCATATCCATCTTTCTATAAAACGCCCATTTCGTATTCAACCCACCTTTGCCCTTCTCCTTCCTGTACCTTCTCTTCAACGAATCCATCATCTGCCTGCACTGAGCTTCATTCCTCTGGATTTTCAACGCCTCGGAAACTTTCGCAGCAACCTCGGTCCAGTCCGTGGACCTCAAGCTGTTCCTGCCCAACTGCAGAAACCTCTCCCCCCAAACCTCTAAAAGAACAAACTTTTCCTGTTCGCTCCATCCTTCGCCTGCGAAATCAGCTTCCCCGTGGTTGTGGTTGCTCATCCTCGGGGCTCGCGCCACAAACTCGTAATTCTGGGCCAACTTCTTGAGCTTCTGCCTCTTGGGGTACCTCCCGAACTCCTCGTTCTGCTCGAAATCGTTGGGGTATCCTCTGCCAATGTCGTCTTCGTCGGAGTCGACGCCGTTCTCGCCTTCGAAATCGTCGTCGGCATCGTCTTCCTCGTCCTCCACGTAATCGCGGCGGTTGAAGTAACTGGCCACCGGACGGTGGGAGTATAAAGGCGACTTCTTTGCGCGACTGTGGGGGTAAGCTTTTGGTGGGTACCTGGCATCATCTTCGGTGTCGTCCATGGCGTAAAAAAGGATTTCAACTCAATCGAAAGAGCCGACCACCAATTGAATTGTGAAGGGTATTATTTCATGAAGTAGGAGCTAAAGAGAGAAGAAATCCCCAAACAGAAAAATCTAGGGTTTATCAGAAGCTGGAGAAGAGACTGGATTTTGATTGAAACTAGAGAGAGAGAGGGAGAGGGAGAGGGAGAGGGAGAGAGAGAGAGAACGAAGCTTGAGATTGCGCCAAGTGCACGCGCACTGGTTGATTCGTGTTTCTCATTTGTTGTTGGGCCTTCTTGGAAGTTAGCAAGCTGGGCCTATTGTTTTCAATTGGGTCTTGTTATTAAAGTCCAAAACCATCTGCAGCTCAGTCGGTTGGAGAACCAAAACTGAAGTTAAAAAAAAACAAAATACACTTGTATAGCCATAATTTGTGATAAATATAGTCATAATTATTTGAAAATAAAAAATAACTAATTCCGTACATTTTATTAACGGTATAAGTTGATGGTGTGACTGGACTAACGAAAAATGCTGAGTTGGCAATTTATGGTCCCACCAATTGATGTGGATTAACACAAAAAAAATAAAATAAAAATCTAGCACATAAAAATTAAAATTAAAATATAAAAAAAAGTAAATCCCCAAATCCAATCACTCCGTCTTCCCTAGGTATGGCAACAAAACTCGAACCCATGGGTACCCACCCGACCCAACCTGGTCAACGCGGGTAAAATCCGTGTTGACGGGTTTTGGGCCGGGTTTGGGTTTAAACCCGTTCACTATTCAACGGGTTGGGTTGGGTTTGGGTTTAGGTAAACCCGGTCCGTGGATACCCGCCCACCCATATAATTAATTTTTTCGGTATATTTAATATTCTCAACAACTAATCTTATTTATGTTTGTGGAGACATGTCTAATTTTTTCTTTTTAATTGTGTAGAATGAAGTTGATGTTATGGAATGGAGAGTAAAGTAACTTAATTGAAAGGAAGAAGCTTTCAATTAAACATGTTATTTATGGAAAATTTGTGATTTGCTTCAATTTTTTTGAGTTTTCTAGATTGGTGTTGAACAATTTGTATAGTTAATTTGTTATTTGCTTGAATTTTCTAGAATGGTGTTTTATATATGGATAATTTGTATTGAGAGATTGATATTTGACTTTAATTTTGATAAGAACTTGTAATTGTAAATTTTTTACGACAAAACCCGTGGGTACCCATGAACCCGCGGATACCCAACGGGTTGGGTTGGGTTTGAGTTTTTCAAACCCAGTGGGTTTTACCCCGGGTTTTTTTCAAAGATAAACCCATAGGTTTGGGTTTGGGTTTGGCAAAACCCGACCCAACCCGACCCATTGCCATCCCTAGTCTTCCCTTCCCTTCCCACTCGAACATCTTTAGATTAGTACTAACCTGACCCCTCATTCACAAACCCCAGAACCAGAACCATGGAAGAAGTATGGAAATACATCAACTTGTCCTCCCTCAACGACTAATTAGGGATGTCAATGGGTCGAGTTGGGGCGGGTTTTGTCAAACCCAAATTTATGGGTTTATCCGCCAAAAAAATCCGGGGTAAAACCCGTTGGGTTTGAAAAATTCAAACCCAACCCAACCCGCTGGGTATCCGCGGGTTTTTGTAGTAAAAAATTTACAATACAAGTTTCTTTCAAAATAAAAGTTTTAACATCAATTTTCTCATACAAAAAACACCAATCTAGAGCATACAAGCAGACCGCAAATGATCAATACAAATTGTTCAAAATTAAAGATAAACATCTATAAACAATAAGATTAATTGAAAGCTTCTTCCTCATCAACTAAGTTTCTTCACTCTCCACTTCATAATATCAAACTTCATTCTAAACAATTAGAAAGAACAAATTATACATGTCTCCACAAACATAAAGAATATTAGTTGTTTAAGAAAGATATATTATTTAGAATATTAAATATACCGGGAAAGTAATTATATGTGTGTGGGCGGGTACCCATGGGGCGGGTTTACCTAAACCCAAACCCGACCCGGCGAATAGTGTAGCGGGTTTAAACCCGAACCCGGCCCAAAACCCGTCAACACGGGTTTTACCCGCGTTGGGTCGGGTGGGTACCCGTGCGTTCGGGTTTTGTTGCCATCCCTACGACCAATGCCCCACTCCTGTCTGCTACCATCATCACCACAACCGCAAGTCTATAACCGCAATGAACATCATCGTCGCCACCACCAAAATCAAACTGTATCTTTCAGGACTTCTTCTCTCGCCCTTTCGACCAAGACCCACTTCCCTCCCGATTCCCCTGCCTCCGCCGCCATCCCGCCACCATTCAGAGATTCTCCCCTACCTACCCACGCCACCGTGCTGAGCCTGCACTCTGGCTCCGCCGGATTACCGCCGACGTGTTCCCATTTGCAGCCTCAACAGATGGTTTCCAGTGATTACCCTATTCCCTTCAACAACACCCAATTCGACGATGGGTTGGACTGCTCTGCCTCGCTGTTGAACCCTTTTCAGAGGATAGCAAGAGGGATAGCAAGAGGGAGGTGCGCGAAGAATATTGGGATTGGAATTATTGGAATTGGTGTTCATCGGAGCTATGGGTGAGAGTTGTCGGCGACGGAGCTGGGGGTGCAAAGAAGATCTGGAGAGAGGCCGAACAAGTCCGAAGACGACTGCTTATCAAACTCAAGCGACGAAAGACGATGATCCCTAATCTCAAACTTGAGCGACGTAATGCGTCGAATATTTTTTGGGTGGTCGGGATCCAACCGTGGCGTTGCCGATGTAGCTAAGTGGTCGCCAGAGACTACCGAAAGAAGAAGAAGAAGAAGAAGAAGAAGAAGAAGAAGAAGAAGAAGAAGAAGAAGAAGAAGAAGAAGAAGAAAGAGAGGAGGTCGTTGGTGGAGTGGAGGTGAGTGGGGGGAGAGGAAAGATAAATTAATTTTTTAATTTTTTAATTAAAATATGACATAGCATCTATGTGGCAAGTATGGATGAGTTGTCGCTTATGTGTCCGGTGATTTGGCATCCTAGTCACATTAACGTTAACCTAACTGACGGAGTTATTAACACCGTTAAAGTTTGTAACGAAAATGGCTAGATTTGGCATGTAACATTCAGAATCCTGGCTATTTCGTGTTTTCGAATAGTTATGGCTATGTTTGTCACAAACGTGAAAGTTATGGCTATACAAGTGTATTTTGCCAAAAAAACAACTGCCCCATGCAGGTCTCAAACCTGCGACTTTCTTGTAAAACAGAACGCTTTAACCAGTTGAGCTAAGGCCAATTGTTTAAAATAAAGTACCTTGTTCTGCACTTATAAATACCATAGCAGCGGTTGGACCAGTACCACCGTTGAACCAGCTACACTAGCGGTTCAGTGCATTTGCTTGGACGTCTAGGAATGTACCTAAAGGTTTTTAACGGTTTGGTATGAAATCAGATGAACAACTCCCGTGTAACACCTTGGGCAAATCCCACATCAACAAAGTACGGGAGAGATTCATGATTTATAAGTAAGAAACCACCCTTAACTTACAAGACGTCGTTTTGGGATAAAATGAAAACTTTATTGTAAGAATGAGCGACCTCTCGAGAAGTCCTCTTAATATGCACCCAGGACAGTCCAATAAATTCGGGAGGCCCTATTTCGAAAATAAAATGTTGCCTAAGTTTTAAAAATATAAACAATGAAGTTTTTTAGATAATTTAATTTGTCTCATAAAACATAAAATGTGTGTTATAGGAGTTAAATTGACTTATTTAATGTTTGAAGACTTAAGTTACAATTCCATTTTAAAAAAACACAAATTTTCATGTAATGTGAGTTAAATAGACAAACTTAAAACTTAAGAACTAATTAAAAAAAAAATTGAAGTGGAGGGACTAAACCAATATTTTAATCTAAGTTAAATTGAATAAATTGGCATTCAAGTAATGAGAGGTAAATTGACGCACTTAAAATTTAGGAACTAAAGGATTAAAATATTAAAGTGAACGGACTACACTAATACTAAAAGTTAAATTCAATAAATGAGTATAAAAGGTATTTTTTGGAATGAATAATGCAACAAGCTCGATTTGAATATTATTTTAATAAAAAAAGAATATCATTTTAATCTGATATAATGATCACATCACATTATATTCGATTCAATATAATGCGACATAAATATCGATTTATTCTGATGTAACCCCATCCGGACCAATATAATGCGACATAAATATCGATTTGAATATCATTTTAATCCACACAAAAAAAAAGAATATCATTTTAATCTGATATAATGATCACATCACATTATATTCGATTCAATATAATGCGACATAAATATCGATTTATTCTGGTGTAATCCCATCCGGACCAAACATTGCACACCCTTACACACCCGCCAAAATGTACACTTTCTATCAAGGTTGTCAAACCGGTTTATGCCGGTACGCCGGTTTTACAAGTGAAATGGTTCTACCGTGGTAGAACCAGTTTCATGCCGGTTGTGCCGGTTTGTGCCGGTTTTACCACAATTTCTGGATATGAATATAATAACCCATCACAAAATATATATCTAAAATACATCCATAATTGAATTAGGACAAGATTAAATACCAACTCATAAATGTTCATAAGTTAATGTTAACATCTAAATGTCCATAATTGAATACAAAATTGAACAACAAATTGAACAACAAACATGGACTTTACAAAATTGAACAACAAGGGGGTCATAATTTTCGTCCCCAACATTCATAGGGAGCTGATCAACTCTCTTGAACTATGTTCTGGGAAGCTTTCCAGTCAGAGTTGTTACCTGGAGGTGAATTGAGGAAGGTGGCCTGTTGGTGCCACTCGATCGCCGCGCACAGGGAAGAAGAAGGGCTGCCGGCTGCCGGCTGCCGCGTTTCCTGCCTTGCCGGGCTGCTGTCGAATCGAGACGCGCCGGGCTGCTGTCGAATCGAGAAAGGAGGCCGCGGCGGAAGGAGGCTGCGGCGGAAGGAGATCGTGACTGGTGGTGGTGGGCGTCTTGGCGGCGTCTGGGGAGCTCGGCTGCGAAGTGGAGAAGAATGGGAGGGATGGGCGGAGATCGTGACTGGTGGTGGTGGGCGTCTTGGCGGCGTTTGCGGAGCTCGGCTGCGAAGTGGAGAAGAATGGGAGGGATGGGCGGCGAAATGGAGAAGAATGGCGTCTGGGGAGCTCGGCTGCGCGCTGTGAAGTGAACCCTAAATTTTTTTTTTTTAAACGCCATCGTTTTTGCCATTTGGCCGGCATCTCCCAAACCGGTCGAACCACCGGAATTCCCGGTTTTGACCGGATTTGACCGGTTTTGACCGGTATTGACTGGAGGGTTGTGCCGGTGGTATTCCAGCCGATTTCATGACCGGTACCGGTTGGACCTGGTTCAACCGGCCGGCATACCATTGGCATGACAACCATGCTTTCTATAAAAATTTTACCACTTCCCAGTTTCCAACCCACTTTTCTATCTCAGTGGTCTCCTAGCCACCGCAATCTCTCTCGATTCTCCATCAAAACCGGTGCCTCTCTGTCACTCTTCCACCGCCGGCCTGACCTTTCTCTTTCTCTCTCAATCACCACATTCACGGATCTGCAACCAAAGTCCACCATTGCGATTTTTTTTTTAAAGCCTGCCCTCCTCCATCTTCTCCTTAAGAGACGCTGACATCCACATTCTCCCTTTCTTGATCATTGGTGGCGGCTGATCTACCGATGAAACCGGAAATTGATTGCTTCCGCGGAAAGGCTTCCCCTTCTTTTTCTCAGGATAGTCGTCAATCAGCTTCCTAATGCTGGCCTGTATGTGGGCATCGGGCCGTGCCACTCACGGACTAGCACGGCACGACACGGTTAGAGCACGACACGAGTACGGACACAAAATAAATGGGCCAGCCCGGCATGAGCACGAATAATTTATGGGCCGTGCCGGGCATAAATTTCATGGGCACGACACGGTATATAAGTGAGTCGTGTCGGGCCTAATATTTTCGAGACTTTATTGAGTATAAGAATGGACATGGCACGAAAATAATATTTATTTGATAGAAAATAAATATAAAAAGAATTATAGGTTCAAATATTACAAAACACAAGTAGAAAAATAATTATTTGTTGTTGTTAGAAGTGTCAGAAAGATATATACGTAATTACTAACATAAGTAAAAATGAAATTCAACGAAAAAATAAGTAAAAATGAACAAAGAATTAAACAAAGTCAAATCACACTCGCTATACTTCCAATTTTCTTTTCCCCCTTATTTGTTACTTTTCTCAAATATTATCGTTTAATACTATCTTCCCCCAACCAATTTTCACCTTCTTTTTCATTCTCTCTTTTGTTTTCGTGCTTTTCATTAAACACGAATACGAGCATGGAACGAACACGAATAGGCACGACACGATTCGAACCATGCCTGGGCCTGGGCCGGGCCTAGCAAAGTTAACAAATGGGCTTGCATGGCACGACACGAAAACTGACGGGCCGTGCCAAGCACGACATGAAATAAATAGGCCCGAAGCGTGCCCGTGCAGTGCCGGCCCAAGCATGGCCCAACGCCCATGTACAGCTGGCCCGATCGCTCTGTCAGTAAAAAAAAAAGACGACTTAGCCTAAATTTACCAGTTTTCACTAGGTTTGACCGGATAATTTTATCTCAAATTCTATCGGCCTTGTCAACAGGCAGGTGGACCCGCTGGTATGGTAAATCCTCATTCGTTGAAAAATATAATGATGTGGTTAAATACCATATATATTGGTCTCTCCCAACAACTCGAGTTATTGGAATTAGTTGATTTAGAACATGTTATCAGAGCTGGTTTGTCCTTGAGGTCACATGTTCAAGTACTCACGACCCCCAAGTTGTCTTCAAGCACATGGTATGGCGAGCCTAGGCAAACTTCAAACCAATGAGTCGGCTTTCGTTTGAAGGCGTGTAAGGAAGTGGTTAAATACTATACATGAGCCTCTCCCAACAATTCGGGTTATTGGTATTAATTGGTTTAGAACATGGTATGGCGAGCCTATGCAAACTTCAAGTCAATGAGTCGGCTTTCGTTTGAAGGCGTGTAAGGAAGTGGTTAAATACTATACATGAGCCTCTCCCAACAACTCGAGTTATTGGGATTAATTGGTTTAGAACATGGTATCAGAGTTGCTTTGTCCTTGAGGTCACATGTTCAAATACTCACAACCCCCAAGTTGTCTTCAAGCACATGGTATGACGAGCTTGTGCAAACTTCAAGCCAATGAGTCGGCTTTCGTTTGAAGGGGCGTGTAAGGAAGTGGTTAAGTACCATACACGAGTCTCTCCCAACAACTCGAGTTATTGGTAATAGGTGGTTTATGCAAAAAAAAAGGACCATACATATTTGCGGATCGACTCACTGCACGATTATTGTGTTGGAGGTCACACGATGTTTTACCCCTTCGGTATGCGAAATATGATCGTTTTTCCAATTTTTCTATTCGCCTAACCCTATCTTTGGAAGTCTTAGTTGACATTTGAATATTAGTGTTATATAAGTGTACTTGAATTTTCACTTTAGTTTGGGTCCAAATACCTACTGTTATTTTGGTATAATGTTATGTGTTAATTATTATTACTAATATGTTAGATGAGAATTTGATGATATAACTAATAAATGTGTAAAGAATGTATTTTTTTCCATATATTCGAGCTTAATCAAGAAAAAACAATTCAACCATTAACTTTCAACCCATTTACTCATCCGAAGCAACCGATTAAACAGAATTGGATTCCACCTCTAAACTTAATTGCGCTTAACAATTTCCAACCTTGTAAATCATTGGACCCCCACGGGAATGGATCAGGTCAGTAACCTTATGGTGAGTAACTATGAGTAACCCGCCCACATCAGCATGACATCAGCATCCTCTCTCTCCTGGAAAGCCTTTAATTTTCCACTCCTTAATCTTTGACGGACGATTTCTCACTCGTTTTAAGTCGAAATTTAATTTTTTTTGCACAGTTAGATCAGATTAATTGTGCTCTTCAAAATGATATCCACTTTGATATATTTTTCGAACAAAAAAAATCGAGTCATTTTATACCAGTCTATACAATATGGTATTGACTGGTATTGAAATAAGAGCATACCTATGGTTTGAAAAGCGTACAATGATGGTATGACACAAACCAAAACTGTAGGATGGTTGAATATATGATAGTAGAAGTATATTAATGGTCATTTACGACTTTTAACATTGTATACCATAAAATACCATAAAATACCAACCCGTACCAGGGTGGTATTGTATGGTATTGCGTGGTATTTTTTTGTCTTGTAATTTGTTCACCCAGAAATTTGTAGATCCAATAGATCATGATGAACTCGTCCCTGCTGTGCAAACGTTTTCAAAAACGAAGAAGATACCATATGGTATGCGGTTGATACCGAGAGGCCAGAATTTTTTTTCCCTAAAAAAATATTGAAAATTGATCTCATTTTGTAGAGCACGATGAACTCGTTCCATCTGTGCAAAAAAAACTAAAATCCGAGTTAAAACGAAAAAGATACGAGTCAATTAAGAAAGCTAGTGAAAATAAAAATGAGCTTTAATTCTCCATCATTAGATCTGGATTTTCTAAATAAAGGGTCCAGATTTGATTATTAATGATGGATTATGCACCCTAACTTGAGCCGGACCCCACCCCACAAATTCAATACCATCATAATTTTCAAGCAAGCATAGAATTGATGCTCTATGATGGATCGGATTTGATCCTTCGATCCGTCACCACAAATCCACAATCCACGAAACAAAATGATGGGTGAAGCCGCGGAAGGCACTTTATGACTTTATCAAATACAAAGAGGTGAAATTATTATCGGGAGTTAGTACTGCAACTTGTTGCCGCAAGCGGGAAAACCTCCGCCCACCTTCTTCGACCTCGTCGTCCACCACCTCCGACGGTCCCGTCATCCAACCCCTTCCACAGACCGTTCCAAGAGGTCGAAACTCGAAAGCGTCCACCTTGCTGCGTGCCCTTCTTTCCCGCCGTCCAGCTCCGGCGACTTCATCGTCGTCGCCTAGACCCATAGGCAACTCCCATCTAAGCCCGGATCCATTCGCCACCGCCTCCTCGTAGGCCATCTACAGGTGAGCCTCGTCCTGTTCGCAATTGGGTGACCGAATTTTGAATTTGGGGTTTCTGCATTTGATCTGCGGATTGATTGGGGGTGCTCTCTGGATTTTGCTGTTCAGAGGGCGAAGAGGGTCTGATTTTCTGCTAGGTGCTTGATTTCCGTGTACAGCCTCCAGAATTGGGGTTCTTTTTAGGAAAATATAAAGTTGCAATTGCAATAAACATAGCCACATCTCCTCATCTTCACCTTTTTCAGAGTGAATCGTTGCTTCTGTACCATGTGCATGAAACTGTAATCTGTGTGTCAATTGAATAAGTAAGAATGGGTATTCATAGAAACTTCAACTTTTAGAAACGCGCTAGATTTGGTATTGCAGTTTCTCGATAGAACTATTTATCTCGTCCTGTCCAGAAGTGATTAATTTGCAGGTATCCAAGTGGTGGGGCTTTTGCTGTATTTTCTATTACTAATTGCAACTATGAGAGCTTGGTAGGACAGAGATTGCTACTATGCTTAATGGCTTTGATCATTTTGGATCTCTCTGTATGCTCTCTTCATAATTTAAGATATTTTATGTTAGAAAGTGATGCCAAGGTTTTTTCTTACTTTAGTTTTGCTGATTAAGAAAAGCTGGCTGCCTTTCCATGTTGCCATGCTCAGGACTTGATTTTGATATTAGGAACTTTTCAAAAGCAGATAATGAGAGGATAGTTTTTAAATGGGAGTCAGGGTGATTGGGTCCTTCTTTGCTCTTTTCGTATATTAAGTTAATGTTAATCTATTATGTCAAGTAACTGGTGGCTTGATTTTTTTAATGTTGGGGTGGTTAATTTAAGACTTCTTATTTTGATAGTTTACAATCTTCCCGAGGCAGATAAAAGATCAAGAGTCTAGATTCCCCACTTGTTTCCTTTCCTTCAGACACACCATGCTTAAGGTTCCAGAACACCAGGTTGCCGGCCATCAAGCCCTCGGCGGGCACCTTGGTCCCCTCATAGACGACTCAGGACGCTTCTACAAACCTCTGCAGGGTGATGAACGTGGCTCCAAGGAAATGTCATTCTACACATCGTTTTCTTCCAACACAAGGGTTCCAGAACACATCAGGAGGTTCTTCCCGGTCTTTCATGGCACTCAACTTGTAGAGGCATCCGATGGATCTGGCAGGAAACCCCACCTTGTCTTGGAAGACGTCACTTCAGGCCAGTTTAAACCCTGCGTCATGGACATTAAGATTGGTTCAAGAACATGGTACTCAGAGTCTTCCGAGGACTACATTCAAAGGTGCTTAAAGAAAGATATGGAAACCAGCAGTTTGTCTCTGGGGTTCAGGATATCAGGGCTGCAGGTATATGGTAACAAAGAATCTGAAGTTTGGAAGCCTGAGAGGAAGGTCGTTCAGAAGCTTGATGCTGATGAAGTTAGGTTGGTCCTGAAAAGGTTTGTTTCCTCTGACCCCTCTCCTGACCTGGAATCCAACCCCGATTGTTGCTATGCATCGAGTGTTTATGGTGGTTCTACTGGGATCTTGGCCCAGTTGCTGGAGCTGAAGGCCTGGTTCGAGGATCAGACTACCTATCATTTCAATTCTTGTTCGGTTCTCATGCTGTATGAGAAGAAGCCATTGCTTCCGAAGAAAGGAGGGAGTTCAGCTGCTGAAGTCAAGCTTATTGACTTTGCTCATGTCACTGAGGGCAAAGGCGTTATTGATCACAACTTCCTGGGAGGGCTGTGTTCGTTTATAAAGTTCATCTCTGAGATCCTTACCAACCCAGATGAACAATCTCCCAGAGCTTGCTCGCAGTACTCGGATAAGAATGGTGGTGCCACTGAAAATGGTGCTGCAGAATCAAAATAGCACTTATTTGGTGGTATGGTTTCCGGCCTAAGGCGTATCATGTTTTTATGTTGACTATGGTTTCTCACCTGTGTCCTGGATGTGTTGACGAACTTCTATTAACGCAAGAGGAGGATAGCTTGTCGTTTAAACTGTTGTCGTTTGAATTTTGAACAGAACTCATGTACTTCTGACTCATGTTTTACCAAGCCAAGTTCCCAGTTTTAATTTTGCTGGTGATTTACCCTGCCAATGGAGGAAATATTCGCGTTAATGCAGTTCTGAGATGAAAGTAAAGGCAAGGGTTACCTTTATCAACTTTTACAAATTAAGTTAACAGAGCATTGATAATTATTTTTAATGTTGCTACTTGAAGCTCATGAATGGCATTCAATGGAACCTAGTTGCTATCTTGCTTCCCTCATATGGCCAAGAAAGGCTACGGATTCTGGAAAATTTCAAGTTCCTGACAGTGACAGCGACTGATAGATCAAAGAGCAGTATCAAACCATCAGTGAACATCGTTTTTTCGTTTTAATGCACCATTATATAAAAAAAAGTCTATAAAAATAACCCCTTTAACTTGCTTTGCTTCCAAGCAACATTCTTTTTACAGGATAATCCGCTTCCAGTCCCAGTTGTGAACTCCAAGCGTCGAAATGATCTTCCGAAGGGAGGGTATTATATAAGAACATTCGAGGGAAAACTCAGAAGTACTAAACTTGAAGAAGATCAACTCAAGCCCCAAAACGATGTAATCGTCCATTATCCTCTGCATTCCCTGATCCACTCTGATCACACTCTGCACTCCACCAAGCCATGGTAACGATACAGTCAGCTCTCTTGCTTTAACTTATGAAGGGGTTCTCGACGAGACGTCTGTTTTCTGCCTAGCTAATTGGTTTTGTGGTTTGGCAGGATTCTTGGCAGTCTGTACTCTGGGACTGTTTACATATGGACTTACCAGACGCAGGGCAGGTCAGGGGAACTGTGTAATTGATCTTGCTGTTAACGTCTTGCTTCTCCTCATTAGGCTGCAATGTACTGTATGGGGCGGTTTCTTTGCTCAGATTAAACCACATTTGCAGACCTATAGCGTGATTGTTAATCAATTTGTCTTCAATAAAAATGTTTTAGCATTGATGTGAGAATCTATTTGGAGTACTTTGCAGATTTTGAATGTTCTGCCGAAGCTCATTCAAATCTGTAGAGAAATGCTCTTTTGTGGAATTTGAGATAAGCTGAACTCTGAATAGCTGTTTTACTAGGCTGACTTCTGATCTTTAATTTGCGCCTCAGATTGCAGATGGAGAGAAATGCATGCATTGGCAGTGAAGCAGTGAGGAGTCTGTCAAATCTGTCATCGGGCATTTAGCTAGATAAGGCTGTGTTTATTTTCTTTGGAGACATACAGAAACTAAGGTTAGAGAAGGATCTATGATGATAAAGATGTTCAGTAAAACATTCCAGGGCCTTATCCTTCTAGAAGACTTATATGCTCAGATAATTTGACTGGTGGGAGGGAAGGATTGCAGCAACACCATAGATTAATGTCTTCCGTTTGCTTGGAACTTGGAAGCAAATGGCGGGTTAATAGTCAAACCCACCCGAACTCACCCAATTATAACTCACCTATGCATTTGGGTAGATATGATAATTGACCGCGACTCACCCGCAATTAATCTGAGAGTGGGTGGGTGATTGATATGGATGGATTGTAAGTCAATAAATTTCCTACCAACAAGCGGCAGCACGACTGGGCATCATTAAACAGATTTTGGAAGATAATCCGCTGATCAAGATTAGGCACATCGGTAGAAGGAACAATGCCAAAGCTGATTGGGTGGCTAGATCATGTGCTAAAAACCAACTGCCCTCACAATGGCTACAAATTCTTGATGTGGTTGCTCTGCTGTAATGTTTGGCTTTTGCCACAATTAATGGAAATTCATTGTCCTTTGTCAAAAAAAAACCTATATGAGAGGTGATGGGTGGGGTATGGGCCGCCTGAATGACCTGCATTCTAGTTTCACATGACAATGAGTTGTTTCTAGTTTATATTAGGGTTAATATATTTGTATGACACGAACTTTTCACATATTGATCAATCTTTTCAATTTATAACTTCGTGGGCTCAACTATGCATCAAAGTTAATAAATTGGCCACCCCCCAAAATTTGACCGTTATCTTAGACGGTCAAATGTGTTGACTAACGGTCAAAGCGCCACGTCATTGCCAAGTCATCACAAATCACTTAAATTTTTTTGGGTTTTCCACCTGTTAACATTGTTCTTTATTCAAGAACACTTGAGACAGTGTAAGACAATCTGAATGTGCTAGCATCATTGACAGTCTCCATTATGCGGCGGATTACACTCGACCAGACATTGCATATGTCGTGGGATTGCTTGGCAGGTTTAATAGCTGTCATAGTAGAGTGCATTGGAATGCTATAGAGAAGGCATGAGATACCTCAAGTGAACAGCGAACCTTGGTATACACTATCGAAGGTTCCCTGCTATACTAGAAGGGTATAGTGATGCAGACTGGAATACCCTATCAGACGACTCCAAGGCAACCAACGGGTATGTCTTCAACATTGTTGAGGGAGCCGTGTCTTGGAAGTTTAAGAAACAAACAATGCTAGCTTAATCAACTATCGAATCAGAGATGATAGCACTAGAACAGCTAGTGAAGAAGCGAGTTGGTTAAGAGGATTGTTGTTATAGATTCCTCTATGGGGAATGCTGGTCCCTCTGGTATTGATCCATTGTGATAGCACCGCAGCTATTGCTAAAGTTAGGAACCGGTTCTACGACGGAAAGAAACGACAGATTCGTCGTAAGCACAGTACTGTAAGAGAACTCCTAACGATAGGAGTAGTGAGGGTGGATCATACATGATCCGAACAGAATCTAGCCGATCCTTTGACGAAAGGATTACCTAGAGAGAAAGTCCAGAATACGTCCAAGGGTATGTGACTTATGCCTACTGAACCATGAATTACAAGTGACGGTAACCCGACCCGATAGACTGGAGATCTCAAGAAACGAGTTCAATGGGTAATAACAAGTCTTGAGTAATATTAAGAAAAGATCATGTATAGTGAAGCATGAATCCCAAAGACTAGAGGTTGAATTAATAGAAACTCTTAATGAGGTCTATACTCCATGTGGAGTGAAGTACTTTACTTTAGGGGTGCTTCTGATAGACTCACCTATGTGAATGTGGGAGTGAGGCCGCTCCCTATGGAACTTTGGATGTACAAAATTGCTAGAGCGATAAGCTTCATAAACATACATGTATTTTGTGCATAAATGATTGATCTTTATATATGTATATGTGTTTAAATTGCTCTAATGTAGTTTACATTGACCATGGAATGACCCTATATAACACCCCGATATTTTAGATTTAGGTTCGACTTTAATACGTGATCGGTTGGATTGACGGTTACGTACTAAGAGTTACAATCGCGGATTAAGAATAATAATATTATAACATTATTATTATAATATTATTATTGGATAAAAAAAAAATATATAACCAGGCGGAGGGCCGAGCGACCCTCACGCCACCAAAACCCTTCCCCCTTAATCAATTATTCTCACCAACTCCCTCCCACGCAAAGAGCAGCAGTCGCGGAGAAAGCAAAAAAAAAAAAAAAAAACACCAACGCCCCTCTCCCTCCTCCGTCTCGCGCAGCAGCAGGGTCGAGTCGCCCGGAAATTCAAATTGTCCAAAAGCGTAACGGCAAGGAGATCAACGTCCCGCGTCATCCAACCTAGACCTAGGCACGTTCTAGAGGTAAGAGAACTCGATCTCTTTGAGTTAGATCGATTGATTTGGTGATTTTTCGTGAGGGTAGAATTCTGGGGTTTTACAACAGGTTTTACAGGCTTTTAGTGACAAATTTTGATTGGTCACTAAAGCTGCTGGGAATTTCCAAAAACGTATTTTTGGATTTTTTAAATTGTTTCGAGCCTCTCTGAAGGTTATTTTCTAAATTTAACAATTTTATAAATTGAGCAACGTTTAGGAGATGATTGTAATTTAATTTGGGGATTTTTGAAGATGTATTTCTATTTTTAGAAATTGTTCTAATATTTATTTTAATTAAATAAAAATCTTTCCAAGGGGTTTTTAAAGGTTTGATAATTTTCCAGGTATAGGTGCTCATGATTGACATGGGAAAATTATTGTCAAAAATTATAAGAAGGTTCAAGTTAGGTGAAAAATTCGTCCAAGATAAAAATAATTAAGAAAAATTGTCGTTTTTGAATGGAATAATTCTAGAAAATTTTAATGGGGGGTTAAAGGACCTTTGGAATGAGGTTCAAGGACCGTAGTTTGAGGAGAGGATGTTCTAGTGATTCAAAAGGGGTTTTAAATCAAGAAAGGTCGTCTAGGAAAATGGATTCTTATTAATAGGTTTCCCCAAGATAATCCGGCTAAGGAGGGGTTTCTTCGAGGAAGGAATTGAGGAGTCATCTTTTCGAGGTGAGTGTAAAGGGGGTAAAATCTCTGTCGTAGGGTTTTTAGTTTCCACTTTTCGTTCAAGTTATTATTTAGTTAATTTTTCTAGTATGCGCGATATGTGTGTGAGGCATCCCAGCGCCTGTAAGGGTGGAGGCACGCGTTGTGTTATGTATGAATGTATGTGATGTTGTATGGATTGATGGTATGAGTAACCCCCGGTCGGTTGGGTCACTAATGGACGGGGAGACGTAACGCAGTAGTTGACGGGCATGGACTGGACGGCGAGACGTAACGCGGTTGGCATACTAGGGTAGGACACCGAACGACGAGACGTAACGCGGTGGTCCTAGTGTTTTGGGTTGAGATAAGGATAGAGGTCGAGAACTTTTATGAGTTAATGTTGAAATGAGTTGATAAGAATGGTTATTTAAGAGCAGAAAGCGAGAACGACTTTCATGCTAGGAAGCAAACTCTAATAATGCGTTTAGTAGGGAGCTTCTTAGGGCAAAGACCTTAGGAAGTAACGACGAGATTGACCGCTTCTCACTCACCAGGTGCAGAGAGGGGAAGAGGACGCATCCATCAAGAGGAGGTTAAGCAAACAAGAAGATGTCAACTGGATCTGGGTAACGAGATGGGACCTCCCATATATCTGTCTTTAGTTTCATGTCTTAATGAGTATACTGGGAAACTCAAGGATTGTGTTTTATGTTTTGTTGCTCTGGATTGAGGTCGCCCAAGTGTTTAGGGCATTTCACTTGAAAATCTTAAACATTGTGGTTGTTGATATTTGGTTTTGACTTGTATACCGTTTTGGGTTGCTCCGGAGTAACCCGTTTGTGGTTTGAGTTGTGGTTTGGTTTTCAAAAAGGATCGGGTCGTGTCACCCTAGTGTCATTACCAAGACATGTAGCGATTTACACAGTTTGAAGCTAAGATTTTGAACAAAACAAAGTGCAGTGGATGAATGTAGGTGCAGTGTCAAAATGCAGACATGCAGTGGCAAACGCCCAGCAGGACGTCAAAGTGATGAAGACCCAAATCAAACCATTATGGGTTGGAATCTTCACTCAACAGTCAACAGCCCTCACAAAGCATTGGAATTGGATCAGCTTTCTTGAAGTGAGCAAATGGATGTGGTGGCTCACAAATAGATAAAAAGATGCAGAAAACTAAATGCAAGGAGAAAGACTTGAGCTGACAGCAGCCTTCTCTTGGAAATGGGATATGCAAGTGCCTTGTTTTGTGGGATTAAATCTGCAGAAAATGGATTTAAAAAGGGCAGCAATTAGGGAGCTTAGTAGAAATTTTTGGAGACTAGTTTTAGAGAGAAAAATCAAAGGAGAGAGCTCACTTTGGCACACTTTGGAGTTGAGCATTTTGAAGAATGGAAGACTTTTGTAAGTTGGGGGTTAACTTCAACACTTAGTACTTTCTCTACTCCTTTGTTTTGGTAATTAGTTATGATGTTGAATATTAGCATGTTTATGTTCTTTCTTTTCACCATGAACTAATCCCGCAATTTCTGGGGGAAACTTATGGATTTCATTATATAGCCTCGATGTTTTAATCACAACTTGTTTTCCCTCCATTTTCTATCGTGTGAAACTGTTTAACGCTTTGAGTTGATTGGCCAACTTCACAATGATTTGTAGTTTTTAATAACGATAGTGAAAATCTAG